GTAAATCGCACGTTATGTCCATGCTCAATTATTTTGTGAACAGACAAAAAATTTGCATTTAACATTGGCACGAAGAGTACATTGCATAGAGTAATGTCGGTAAACTCCGATTTCAAATTTACATTGCCTATGCCCTCAGCAAATACACAATCACCTGATGCCAGCATTACCTTTTGCCTAAGTTCTCTTAATGAAGAGAACACACATTTATTTCCACTCATATGTGATGATGCGCCACTGTCTACAATCCACTCATTTGAGTTTAAGCTGCTCGATTCTCTGGCTGTCATTATCATCGCTTTGCTATTGCAATTCGCCTTAATGTGACCTCTCTTTCCGCATGAGTAACATCGAATATTTTTGTGCCTGTGCTGCTCACCGCTCTCTTTTTCATGTTTGCCTTTCTTCTTATTCGCCCGCCTTGAATTCGCCGCAAACACGTGTTCATCACCATTTACTATTTTCTCTCCTCGACGTTGATGCTCTTCCAACACTTTGACCTTCAACTGATCCCAACTAGGCAGAATGTCTCTACTCTCCATCGCCACTATGAAGCTTTCATATTCGTCGGGGAGACTGCACAACAACAATAAACTTACAAAATCCTCTGGTAGTGAAACGTCAATTTCTCTTAATGATTCCACCATTGAGCTGAACTCATTTATTTGTTGTTGGTATCCAATCGAATCTTGAATTTTAAATCTAACCAACCTTTTGAACAAATTTACCTTCCTGGCGGGAGTTTTGCCAACATATGTGGAACTTAATTTGTTCCAAGCTTCCTTAGCATTTTTGCACGACTTCACGTGTATTAATTCCGACGGCTTTATACAAAGCGTGATTGTTGCTAGCGCCTTAGAATCAATCACTTTCCAAGCAGCCTTTTCCTCTGCGGTTGCTGTTATTGGACATGTCCCATCTATGACACTCCAATAGTCCAAAGTGATTAACAAGCTCTTCATATGGACCGACCAACTTGAATAGTTATCTCCACACAGCTTTTCTATTTGCGCCGAACTTGCCATAATTTTCAATTTCTAAACAATCCGCGAATTAATACTTCTTTTACTTCTTTCTTATGACTTTGAACTTTTATTCTTGAAGCAATAACACGTGGGCAGTGCCTGGGCCCATAACCTATGTTAGCAGTCAGATAGCTTCTTGAATAAAAGACAAGTTGTGTAATTGATAGAAAGTAATCTTTACTGAACAAAGGTTTAAAGAGAAGTAGTTAGGTTACAATGAGATGATAGTTATAAAACCTAACGGAATACAACTTTAGTAAACTAGTACTAAAAGTATGAAGTAGTAAATGGGTTGTGAAACAAAACAGGGTGAATCTTCAGATGTATTTTACATTTTAAAAAAATATTTTTTTAATTTTTCAACCAACGTGGATTTTTTAAAAAGTATTTTTTCAATGTGTCAACCATCGTGGAATTTATAATTTTTTTTTCAATTTTCAACTAACGTGGCTTTTTTTAAAAAAATATTTTTTCAATGTTTCAACCAACGTGGATTTTTTAAAAAATATTTTTTCAATGTTTCAATCAACATGGATTTTTTAGAAAATATATTTTTTTAACACTTCGAACAGCGTAGATTTTTTCAAACAACATGATTTTTAAAAAAAGTTCTTGAATCTATCCTCTCCCCCCTCCTCTCTCTTCCCTATCCCCTCTCTCTAACTTTTAAAAACCTAAGACAACATTTCCCCTTTATCTGATAACTGCATTTGTCATTGTTTCAATTTCCATTCAAGAGCCATCGTTTCAAGTGTCCACCACCTAACTCTGCTATCAGGCTCTACGTAAAACCTGAAAATGCAATTCTAAATAATATTAGAGCCAAATGCAAAACTAAAAAAAAAATCTGTAAACAATCACACTTGACTTGAAGTGCTGTGATAATTGTTGAAATGTAACAATTTAACGAGGTGGGTTAGCTATAATTTGGGAAATATGACTAATAGAGGGTGAAATGAAAAAACCGCAACCAACTTCAGACTGCTGTCATTTCTAAGCCACTCGTCCGACAGCTATTGCAATTATTCCAGTAACAGCTCATTATATTGCTTACAAGCGTACAAAAGCATTTTGCTGAGAATTTTCCAGAAAAAAGTTGCTCGTGATGGAACTCAAGCGTGATAATGTGATTTCTTTATATTTGCTTTCATTCAATAAAATTAAAAAAAATGTAAAAATAATGGCGTTTAATTTTGTTGCAGTTTTTTTATCTCACCCTGTAAACTACAAACTATTTTTAATGAAGCTCAGGTATAATATGGCGCCCAACGAGGATCCCTGAAACTATTAATAGTAATACAGAGGGTGCATTTCATTTAATACGACCAAAAAGTGACCCTGGGTCTCTTTGGACTTAATTCGTTTGAGGACACATATTCCGTTTTTTATTTTTTTTTTGTTAATTTTGAATTTTTTTATTTGAATTTTTTAAATTTAAAATTAAAACTTTTATGTTTTTTTTTTAAATTTTAAAGTTTTCCAAAATTAAAAAAATAAAAAAATGTAAAAATTATGGCGTTTGACTTTGTTGCAGTTTTTCTATTTCACCATGTAAACTACAAACTATTTACAATGAAGCACAGCTATAATATGGCGCCCAGCGAGGATCCCTGGAATAATTAATAATTATACAGAGGGTTCATTTAATACGACCAAAACGTGTATCATCGAGACCCTGGGTCTCTTTGGACTTAATCTGTTTGAGGAAACATATTCCCTTTTTTAATTTTTTTTTAATTTTGATTTTTTTTTTTAAAAAACATTTTTTTGGAATATTTATTCTTAAATTTTGAAATTTTTTAATTTAAAATTTTGGAAATTTTGTTTTTTTTATATTTAGAATTTTTTAAATTTGAATTTTTTAAATATTTTTTTTCGAATATTTATTTTTAAGTTTTGAAAATTTTTAATTTAAAAATTTTTAAATTTTAATTTTTTTTTTATATTTTGAATTTTTTATATTTGAATTTTTAAATATTTTTTTTGATTGTTTATTTTCAAACATTGAAATTTTTTACCTTAAAAATTTTAAAATTTTGATTTTTTTTTTATATTTTCAATTTTTTAAATTTGAATTTTTTAAATATTTTTTTTCTTTGAATATGTATTTTTAAATTTAAAAATTTTTTAATTTAAAATTCTTTAAATTTTATTTTTTTTATATTTTGAATTTTTTATTTAAAAAAAAAACATTTTTTTGGAATATTTATTTTTAAATTTTGAAATTTTTTAATTTAAAATTTTGTTTTTTTATATTTTGAATTTTTTAAATTTTAATTTTTTAAATATTTTTTTTCGAATATTTATTTTTAAGTTTTGAAATTTTTTAATTTAAAAATTTTTAAATTTTAGTTTTTTTATATTTTGAATATTTTAAATTTGAATTTTTGAATATTTTCTTTTTATTTGATTGTGTATTTTTAAATTTTGAAATTTTTTACCTTAAAAATTTTAAAATGTTTATTTTTTTTGTACTTTCAATTTTTTAAATTTGAATTTTTTAAATACTTTTTTTCTTTGAATATGTATTTTTAAATTTTGAAATTTTTTAATTTAAAATTTTTAAATTTTAATTTTTTTTTATATTTTGAATTTTTTAAATATTTTTTTCTGGATTTTTTTTAAATATTGAAATTTTTTAATTTAGAATTTCTTAAAGTTTGATTTTTTTATATTTTGAATTTTTTAAATTCGAATTTTCAAATATTTTTTTTTTTTTTGAATTTTTATTTTGAAATTTTTTGCTTTAAAAATTTTTAAATTTTGATTTTGTTATATATTTTCAATTTTTTAAATATTTTTTTTAAATTGTATATTTTTAAATTTTTTAATTTAATTTTTTTTTTAATTTGGATTTTTTTTATATTTTGAATTTTTTAAATTCGAGTTTTTAAATATTTTATTTGAATTTTAATTCTTATATTTTGAAATTTTTTACTTTAAAAATTTTTAAATTTTGATTTTTGTTATATTTTCAATTTTTTAAATATATATATATATTTTTTTTGAATATATATTTTTAAATTTTGGAATTTTTTAATTTAATTTTTTTTTTTAAATTTTGATTTTTTTTATATTTTGAATTTTTTAAATTCGAATTTTTAAATATTTTATTTGAATTTTTATTTTTAAATTTTGAAATTTTTTACTTTAAAAATTTTTAAATTTTGATCTTTGTTATATTTTCAATTTTTTAAATATATTTGTTTGAATATATATTTTTAAATTTTTTAATTTAAAATTTTGATTTTTTTTATATTTTGAATTTTTTAAATATATTTGTTTGAATATATATTTTTAAATTTTTTAATTTAAAATTTTGATTTTTTTTTATATTTTGAATTTTTTAAATATTCTTTTTTTTGTTGAAATATTTATTTTTAAATTATTTTTATATATTTTTTTCTGGAATATTTATTTTTAAATTTTGAAATTTTTTAATTTAAAATTTTGTAAATTTTGTTTTTTTTATATTTTGAATTTTTTAAATTTGAATTTTTTAAATATTTTTTTTAAACTTTAAAATTTTTTAAATTTATTTTTTTTTTTTTAAATTTGATTTTTTTCAAATTTTGAATTTTTTCCAAAATTTGTATTATTTTCCCCACCTCATTACACCACCCCCCTGTCCACACACCTATGATGAAGTCTCCAATACATCTCTTCACACGAAAGGCAATCATTTCGAGCATTTGATTTTGTTGTCATTTTCCAGGTAAATGGGAAAAAGGCAACAACAAAAACAACAACTTCTCTACTGCATTTGTTGACAGAAAAATTGTGATTCCGGACGATAAAGCAAAAATGGGCAATCATATCGAAGGGAAAATAAACCGGGCATGAATAATTCTACCAAAAAGTAGATAAAACAACAACGACTGGGGGAGAGAGAATGAGCAAGGGAGAGGAAGATTCCGGGGGGGAGAGACTAGAAAAACTTTAATTGCTTATAAAAGCCAGCGTTTGGATGTGGGAAACTTCAGTAGTGTTGGGAGGTTATCGAAATCAATTATTTTTTTCAAAATGAGATTGTCAGCAGTGTTCGTGGGGCTGACGGTATTGGTGGGCTCATCGCTGGCCAAGGATTGGTGGGAAAATGGCAATTTCTATCAAATCTATCCCAGATCATTTAAGGATAGCAACGGAGATGGTATTGGAGATCTGAATGGTGTCACTGAAAAATTACAGTATCTGAAAGATCTGGGCTTTACGGCCACCTGGCTTTCACCCATCTTTAAATCGCCCATGGCTGATTTTGGTTATGACATCTCCGATTTCTATCAGGTCCATCCGGAATATGGTACCATGGAAGATTTTGAAAATATGATCAAGAAGGCCAAGGAGGTGGGCATTAAAATTATTTTGGATTTTGTGCCCAACCATTCGAGCGATGAAAATGAGTGGTTCAAAAAGTCGGAGGATAATGATCCTGAGTATCGGGATTTCTATATTTGGCACAATGGCAAGGTGAATGCCACCACGGGAGAGCGTGAGCCGCCCAACAACTGGATGAGTGTGTTCCGTTACAGTGCCTGGCAATGGAGTGAAAAGAGACAGCAATATTATCTCCATCAATTTGCCATCAAACAGCCGGATCTAAATTATCGCAATCCCAAGGTGGTGGAGGAAATGAAAAATGTCCTGCGTTTTTGGTTGGCCAAGGGTGTGGCCGGTTTTCGCATTGATGCTGTGCCATATTTATTTGAAGTCGAAATGGGTCCCGATAACAATTATCCCGATGAACCCTTGGCCGATAATGTCAATGACTGCCCGGATCCCATGGATAATTGCCATTACAAACATCTCTATACCCAGGATCAACCGGAAACCTTTGATATGGCCTATCAATGGCGTGCTGTGGTGGATGAATTCAAAAAGGAACATGGTGGCGATACCAGGATCCTATTGACCGAGGCCTATACCAGTTTTGAGAACATCATGCGTTTCTATGGTGATGGCAAGAGGAATGGTTCTCATGTGCCATTCAATTTTGATTTCCTTACCAGCGTTTCGAATGACACCAAGGCCGGAGATATGGTGAGTCACATCAAGAAATGGATGGATGCCATGCCCAAGGATGTAAGGGCCAATTGGGTACTGGGTAATCATGATAATAAACGTGTGGCCTCGCGACTGGGTGTGAATAGGGCGGATTTGTTTAATATCCTACTGCAAACTTTGCCCGGCAATGCTGTTACCTATAATGTAAGTCGGGATATAGGGGTGGGGACTTGAGAGGGGAATTTGGAAATTTTTGAAAATTTTTTCTTCTGATTTTCAAAGGGTGAGGAATTGGCCATGACCGATGTTTTTATTAGCTGGGAGGATTCAGTGGATCCCCAGGCCTGTAATGGCAATCCCCAGACCTACTATGGCCTGTCCAGAGATCCAGCACGTACACCCTATCAATGGGATGCCTCAAATATGGCAGGTAAGTTGAGAATTGGAAATAAAAATAATGAAGATTTTTTTTTAAATTGGACAAATTTGAGAAATTTTTTTATAATAATTAATAATAATTATTTCAATTATTGATTAAAATAATTATTTTTTTATAATTAAAAAGAAGTAGACATTTTTTATTTTTTATAAAAAAATGTTTCTTAAATTTAAAAATAAAACAAATAATTTATTTTATAATTTTTGTAAAAAAAATATTTTGTCAATTTTTGTATTTTTTTTAATCTTAATCTTAAGGTTAAATAATATATATAAACAATAATAAATAAATAATTTTTCAATTTATTTTTAATTGTAAAAATTTTTTATTTTTTTTTTTTTAATCAAAAAAAGAGAAATTTTCTAATTAATTTTCCCCTCTTTCACCCAACCTCTGCACCCCTCCCCCCTAGGTTTCACCACCGGCGACCACACCTGGCTACCCGTCTCCGATACCTATGTTACCGTCAATGCCCTGGCCCAGATGCGTGCCCCACAATCCCATTTGCAAATCTTCAAGAAGCTAACGAAACTACGCAAGGAGCCCTCATTCCAAGATGGCGACTTAAGCATTGAGGCCATTGGTGATGATATTGTACTCTATTCACGCCAAAAGGAGGGCAGTGATCTCTATGTTGTGGTTTTGAATTTGGGCAAAACTGATCAGACAATTGATATAACTCAATATTTTGCATTGGGTTCGAAGGCCGAAGTTATTACCGCCTCCATACAATCGTCCAATGTTGATGGGTAAGTTTGGGAGGGGGATACATTTTTTGCGGGGGGTATTTGATTGAGAGATTAATTTCTTTTATCATTTTTGCAGGCAAGTCATCAATCCTAGCCAATTCAAGGCTGAAGCCGGCGTGGGCACCGTTTTGGTGAAAGTCTGAAGAGAGAAATGGAATTTTTTTCTTGCAAAGAAATAAAAAAAATATTATTTCGAAAATATTTTGGATATGAAATTCCAAACAAGTCATAAATAATAAATAAATATTCACAAATGTTCCTAGTAATAATGAAAAATTTGGTTTTAAATTAAATGACCTTGAAATGAGGAAAAGTGGAGCACACTTTTAGGCTAACCATATATTTTCAATAAATGTGGGAAAACATGTGATTTCTTCAAAAGTCCATTGGACATGGATTTAAAAAAAAATCCGAAGTCCATTAGACCCGGAGGCTTTTTAAAAAATATTTTCTCCAAAGTCCATTAGACCCGGATGTTTTTAAAAAATATTTTTCCAAGAATACATTGGACGGGGATTTTATTAAAAATATTTTTTTAAAAGATGAAGGTCTCACAGATTTTAAAAAATATTTTTTCCAATATCCAATGACGTGGATTTTTTTTAAAAAATATGCTTCAAAGTTCATTAGTTGTAGATTTAAAAAAAATATTTTCTCTAAAGTCTATTAGATGGGGATTTTTAAAAAATATTTTTTTCAAAGTCCATTGGATTGGGTTTATTTTTAAAATTGTTTTTCCAAAGTCCATTAGACGAGGATTTTCTAAAAAATATTTTTCCAAGCATTAAAAAACGTGGATATTTTTAAAAAATATTTTTTCAATAGATCAACAGACGTTGATTTTTTAAAAAATATTTTTTCAAAGGACTAACAAACGTGGAGTTTTTAAAAAATACTTTTTTCAAAGGACTAACAAACGTGGATTATTTAAAAAATATTTTTTCAAAAGATTAACAAACGTGGATTATTTAAAAAATATTTTTTTCCAAAGATCAACAAACATGGATTATTTAAAAAATATTTTTTGAAAAATATTTTTTCCAAAGATTAACAAACGTGGATTTTTAAAAAATATTTTTTTCAAAGAATTAACAAACGTGGATTTTTTAAAAAATATTTTTTTCAAAGAATTAACAAACGTGGATTTTTTAAAAAATATTTTTTCCAAGAATCAACAGTCCTGGGTTCTTGAAAAATATATTTCTTCCAAGAATCAACAAACCTGGTTTTTTTAAAAAATATTTTTTCAAATGATTAATAAATGAGGATTTTTAAAAAAATATTTTTTCAAAGGATCAAAAAACAAAGATTCTATTAAAAATATTTTTTCAAAGCATCATCCAACGTGGATTTTTTATAAAATATTTTTTCAAAGAATTAGCAATCGTGAATTTTTTAAAAAATATTTTTTCCAAAGATCAACAAACGTGGATTTTTTAAAAAATATTTTTTTGCAAAGATTAACAAATGTGGATTTTTTAAAAAATTATTTTTCCAAAGATCATCCAACGTGGATTTTTTAAAATAATATTTTTTTTCAACGAGGATTTTTTAAAAACTATTTTCCTAAGCATTAACAAACGTGGATTTTTTCAGAAATATATATATTTTTTTTTAAATATTTTTTCAAAGAATCAATAATTGAGGATTTTTTAAAAAATATTTTTTCAAAGGATCAATAAATGAGGATTTTTGAAAAAAAAATTTTTCAAAGGATCAATAAATGAGGATTTTTTAAAAAATATTTTTTCAAAGGATCAATAAATGAGGATTTTTTAAAAAATATTTTTTCAAAGGATCAATAAATGAGGATTTTTGAAAAAATATTTTTTCAAAGGATCAATAAATGAGGATGTTTTAAAATTATTTTTTCAAAGGATTAACAAATGTGGATTTTTTGAAAAATATTTTTTCAAAAGATTAACAAATGTGGATTTTTTTAATAAAATATTTTTTTCAAAAGATTAACAAACGTGGATTTTTAAAAAAACATTTTTTCAAAGGACTAACGAACGTGGATTTTTTAAAAAATATTTCTTCAAAAGATTAACAAACGTGGATTTTTTAAAAAAAAATATTTTTTCAAAGTATTAACAAACGTGGATTTTTTAAAGAATATTTTTCAAAGTATTAACAAACGTGGATTTTTTAAAGAATATTTTTCAAAGTATTAACAAACGTGGATTTTTTAAAGAATATTTTTCAAAGTATTAACAAACGTGGATTTTTTAAAGAATATTTTTCCAAGGATCAATATACCTAGATTTTTTAAAAAATATTTTTTTCAAAGGATTAACAAGCGTGGATTTTTTAAAAAATATTTTTTCCAAAGATCAGCAAACTCGATTTTTTAAAATATATTTTTTTCAAGTATTCAGTAAACGTGGATTTCTTAAAAAATATTTTTTCCAAAGATCAGCAAACCCGATTTTTTAAAATATATTTTTTCAAGTATTCAGTAAACGTGGATTTCTTAAAAAATATTTTTTTCAAAGGATTAACAGAGGTAGATTTTTTAAAAAATATTTTTTCAAAGAATTAAAAAACGTGGATTTTGAAAAAAAAAATTTTCGCAAGGATTAATAAACGTGGATTTTGTAAAAAATATTTTTTACCAAAGATCAATAAACGTGGATTTTTTTAATTTTTTTTTAATATTTCTTCCAAGGATCAACAAACGTGGATTTTTTAATTTTTTTAATATTTCTTCCAAGGATCAACAAACGTGGATTTTTCAAATTTTTTTGTAAATATTTCTTCCAAGGGTCAACAAACGTGGATTTTTAAAAAAATATTTTTTCCAAAAATCAACAAACTAGTATTTTTTAAAAAATATTTTTTTATGGATCAACATACTTGGAGAAACATGTTTTGAAAAAAATATTTTGTTCATGGATCAACTGACGTGGTTTGTTGGAAAAAATTTTTTTTTCAGTGATCAAGAGGCGTGTATTTTTTCAAAAATATTTTTTCCAAGGGTCGACAAATGTAATTTTTTTTAAACATAGGTATATTTTCCAATGATCAACAATCGTATTTTTCCACTGAACAACAACCGTGGATTTTTAAAAAAAATATTTTTTCAAATTGGATTTTTTTTTTTCAAAAGTCCATTACACGTGGATTTTTTAAAAAAATATTTCTTTAAATTTTTTTTTTTCAAAATTCTGTCCTCTTGGGTTTTTTTTGATGATGAAAGATACCGATGCCTTTTTTGTAAAAGTATGAACCACCCTGTGTTAAGTTAATATAACTCTCATCCTTTCTGTAGCATACTTTCAGGATGATACAATATTTTTTATTTTTGTTCAAATAAAAATAATATCAGATTTATCAATTTATTTTTTTATTTTATTTTCAATAAATAAATATAATATAAGCCTCAAACGGAATTTTTATTTCTCTCAATTTCTTTCTCTCATTCTCACCATAATTCCATTTTCCGATTTCAATGTCAATACCATTTCCAATTTCGGTTCATATTTATGTAGTTTCGGCCTCTGCTCCTCCCTCAAGGGCCCCAAAATATTACTAACATAGCCATCTTTGGAAGCCAACTCATCAATGGCTGGAAGAATTTGAAAATTTCTTATAATTTTCGATATCACAGTTTTAATTTCAAGTTGGGCAAATTTCTGGCCAATACAATTTCTCAGGCCAGCACTAAAGGGTACCAACTCAAAGGGTTTATGGGCCTCAGTGCCGTCGGCAAATCTTTCCGGGTCGAAACGATAGGGATCGGGGAAGTTATGCTCGTTGTAACCCAACGACATGATGAAGATGTTTAGGGAAGTGTCCTCGGGTATTAGTTTGCCATCTGAAGAGAAGAAATTGTTTAATTCTTTTTTGAAATTCATGGCGGAAAAATACCCTACTCATATTATACTCCTTTTCGGTGTGCCTACCCACCATGGGTACACTGGGATACAGCCTTAGGGTTTCCTTTAACACCATATCCAAATATTTCATATCGGCAATTTCCTGAAATGTGGCATCACGTTTCATATGTTCACCCATTATGCGCTGCTGCTCCTCAAAGACTTTGGCCTGGACGGCTAGGTGGCGTGAAAGGAGATAAATGACAAAGGATATGGCCGAGGATGTGGTATCGTGACCCTGAAAAAAACGCATTTTTAAACCTTAACCTCTTCTGGGAGAAATTGTTTTAACTTACGGCAAAAATAAATGTGGACACCTCCTCATATAACTCCTGGGTGGTAAAGGGTCTGTCATCCACCCTGGCGGAGAGAAGTGTATCCAAAAATGCCCTTCTGGGCTTGCTAAACTCATCATGGCCACTGTCAAGGGTTTTGTTTTCTTCCTGGGCCCGATGGAGTTTTATGCGTTTCTCGATGACCTGGGAAGGGGAAAGTTTTTTTGTAAAAAAACAGAGTTGCCACACCATAACAAACTTAATGTGGCCAAACCGAATTTTTTTCTAACAAAAAAAATTTGGCGTGGCCGCATCGATTTTTTTAAGAATAAACATGATGTGGCCACATCGAAATTTAAAAAAAAAAACTTGATGTGGCCACATCGAAATTTTTTCTAAAGAAAAAAACTTAGTGTGGCCACATCGAAATTTTTTTTAAAGAAAAAAACTTAGTGTGGCCACATCGAAATTTTTTCTAAAGAAAAAAAACTTAGTGTGGCCACATCGAAATTTTTTCTAAAGAAAAAAACTTAGTGTGGCCACATCAAAATTTTTTCTAAAGAAAAAACTTAGTGTGGCCACATCAAAATTTTTTCTAAAGAAAAAACTTAGTGTGGCCACATCGAAATTTTTTCTAACAAAAAAACTTAGTGTGGCCACATCGAAATTTTTTCTAACAAAAAAACTTAGTGTGGCCACATCGAAATTTTTTCTAAAGAAAAAACTTAGTGTGGCCACATCGAAATTTTTTCTATAGAAAAAACTTAGTGTGGCCACATCGAAATTTTTCTATAGAAAAAACTTAGTGTGGCCACATCGAAATTTTTTCTAAAGAAAAAACTTAGTGTGGCCACATCGAAATTTTTTCTAAAGAAAAAACTTAGTGTGGCCACATCGAAATTTTTTCTAAAGAAAAAACTTAGTGTGGCCACATCGAAATTTTTTCTATAGAAAAAACTTAGTGTGGCCACACTAAGTTTTTTCTTTAGAAAAAAACTTAGTGTGGCCACATCGAAATTTTTTCTAACAAAAAAACTTAGTGTGGCCACATCGAATTTTTTTCTAACAAAAAAACTTAGTGTGGCCACATCGAAATTTTTTCTAAAGAAGAAACTTAGTGTGGCCACATCGAAATTTTTTCTAAAGAACAAATTTTTTCTAACGAAAAAACTTGGTGTGGCCACATCGAATTTTTTTCTATAGAAAAAAATTTGGTGTGGCCACATCGAATTTTTTTCTAAAGAAAAAACTTAGTGTGGCCACATCGAATTTTTTTCTAAAGAAAAAACTTAGTGTGGCCACATCGAATTTTTTTCTAAAGAAAAAACTTAGTGTGGCCACATCGAATTTTTTTCTAAAGAAAAAACTTAGTGTGGCCACATCGAATTTTTTTCTAAAGAAAAAACTTAGTGTGGCCACATCGAATTTTTTTCTAAAGAAAAAACTTAGTGTGGCCACATCGAATTTTTTTCTAAAGAAAAAACTTAGTGTGGCCACATCGAATTTTTTTCTAAAGAAAAAACTTAGTGTGGCCACATCGAATTTTTTTCTAACGAACAAATGTTTTCTTTTGGAAAAAAAACTTGATGTTGCCACATCAATTTTTTTCTCTAGAAATCAATTCTTATTGAAAATTCTTATTGAAAACAAAAAACTTGGTGTGGGCATTTTTTACTCACATCAAATGTAAAATCCTTTAGAGTCTTCACAGCCTTGCAGTAATCCTGGTATTCCGGAAAGAATTGATATGTCAGTTTGCTGCGCTTGAGGGGATGAAATGCCCTCATGTTAATGTTGGCACAAATGCTGTAAAAAAATTAAAAAATTTCAATAATTCTTCTAAAAAAATCTCTTCGTACTCACTATTCCACAGCCTTGGCAAATTCGGTATGGGGATTATCCATGGCATTGATGCTGACACCCATGGCAGTATCTGACCAAAACATTAACACAATATTGAAATATAACCAGCATAACACTTACCACAAATGACATCCAATGTAAAATAGTTGACCATATTTTGAAAATCAAAAATGTTATCCCCTTTCGAGGCCTCCCTCAATTTTTCCATAAATTTGTTGGAAGTTTTATTCATAACCTCATGGAAATCTTGTAGAATTTTGAAATGAAATGCCGGTGTTATGATCTTGCGATGTTTGTGCCATTTCGGTCCGGAACCCGTCAGCAGTCCATCGCCCAGCCAATCAAAAGTCATTTCATAGATGTCGGATTTTTTGATAAGACTAGAGCTGGAGAGAATGAACTGAAAGGCAAAAAGGGATGGGAAATAAATTTTTCAAATTGCATTTTCCAACCTACCTCCACATCCTGGGGTTCTGTGACGAAAATATTCAAATAGTAACCAATCCAGACCCGAAAATTGTGATGGTTGTATTTGTAAAAGTTGTCAAACATAAAATTTAAAATATCTGGAAATGAAGGAAGAAAAAAATATTTAATATCGAAATTTAAAAAAATTTCTTCCTATTTTTCGAAATGAAAATAAAAAAAATATTTTCTTCGTGTAATGCTTTGGAAAAAAATTCAAATAGTCCCCATAACCATAATATAATCTTTCGAATAGTAGAACCCGATAATTAGAGGTCCAAATCTCGATAATACATGCAATTAATTGGCACATGTCTGGCCAAAGAGATCATTTGCAGGTAGCTAACGCCAGGTTCAATCAACTTCTATGCATAACTAGCTAGCAAATGATTGTCTTGTTTAGAAAAGAAATGGAAAATAGACAGATAAACCGGTTTCAGATATGTGCACTTCGGACGTTAAACGGGGGAAACTGAATAAAGAAATAAAATAAAGAAAATGTTCTGTAAAAAAAAATATTTTTTTTTAAAAAATCCACGATTGTTTATCTTTGAAAAAAAATATTTTAAAAAAATCCACGATTGTTTATCTTTGAAAAAAAATATTTAAAAAAAATCCACGATTGTTTATCTTTGAAAAAAAATATTTAAAAAAAATCCACGATTGTTTATCTTTGAAAAAAAATATTTAAAAAAAATCCACGATTGTTTATCTTTGAAAAAAAATATTTAAAAAAAATATTTTTTAAAAAAATCCACGTTTGCTGAAAATATATTTTTTAAAAAAATCCACGTTTGCTGATCTTTGGAAAAAATATTTTTTAAAAAATCCACGTCTGTTGATCTTTGGAAAAAATATTTTTTAAAAAAATCCACGTTTGCTGATCTTTGGAAAAAATATTTTTAAAAAATCCACGTCTGTTGATCTTTGGAAAAAATATTTTTTAAAAAATCCACGTTTATTGTTTCATTGAAAAAATATTTTTATTAAAATTATTATTTTTTAAAAAAACCCATGTCTGTTGATCTTTCGAAATAATATTTACGTTTATTGTTTCATTGAAAAAATATTTTTTAAAAAATCCACGTTTATTGTTTCATTGAAAAAATATTTTTTAAAAAATCCACGTTTATTGTTTCATTGAAAAAATATTTTTAAAAATCCACGTTTATTGTTTCATTGAAAAAATATTTTTTAAAAAATCCACGTTTATTGTTTCATTGAAAAAATATTTTTTAAAAAATCCACGTTTATTGTTTCATTGAAAAAATATTTTTTAAAAAATCCACGTTTATTGTTTCATTGAAAAAATATTTTTTAAAAAATCCACGTTTATTGTTTCATTGAAAAAATATTTTTTAAAAAATCCACGTTTATTGTTTCATTGAAAAAATATTTTTTAAAAAATCCACGTTTATTGTTTCATTGAAAAAATATTTTTAAAAAATCCACGTTTATTGTTTCATTGAAAAAATATTTTTTAAAAATCCACGTTTATTGTTTCATTGAAAAAATATTTTTAAAAAATCCACGTTTATTGTTTCATTGAAAAAATATTTTTTTAAAAAATCCACGTTTATTGTTTCATTGAAAAAAATATTTTTTAAAAAATCCACGTTTATTGTTTCATTGAAAAAATATTTTTTAAAAAATCCACGTTTATTGTTTCATTGAAAAAATATTTTTTAAAAAATCCACGTTTATTGTTTCATTGAAAAATATTTTTTAAAAAATCCACGTTTATTGTTTCATTGAAAAAATATTTTTTAAAAAATCCACGTTTATTGTTTCATTGAAAAAATATTTTTTAAAAAATCCACGTTTATTGTTTCATTGAAAAATATTTTTTAAAAAATCCACGTTTATTGTTTCATTGAAAAAATATTTTTAAAAATCCACGTTTATTGTTTCATTGAAAAATATTTTTTAAAAAATCCACGTTTATTGTTTCATTGAAAAAATATTTTTTAAAAAATCCACGTTTATTGTTTCATTGAAAAAATATTTTTTAAAAAATCCACGTTTATTGTTTCATTGAAAAAATATTTTTTAAAAAATCCACGTTTATTGTTTCATTGAAAAAATATTTTTTAAAAATCCACGTTTATTGTTTCATTGAAAAAATATTTTTTAAAAAATCCACGTTTATTGTTTCATTGAAAAAATATTTTTTAAAAAATCCACGTTTGTTGATTTTGTAGAAAAATTTTTTGTAAGAAATCCACGTTTCTTCATCTTTGAAAAAAGTATTTTTTAAGAAAATCCACGTTTGTTGATCTTTGAAAAAATATTTTTAAAAAATACATGTGTAAAATACATCTGAAGATTCACCCTGTTTTGTTTCACAACCCATTTACTACTTCATACTTTTAGTACTAGTTTACTAAAGTTGTATTCCGTTAGGTTTTATAACTATCATCTCATTGTAACCTAACTACTTCTCTTTAAACCTTTGTTCAGTAAAGATTACTTTCTATCAATTACACAACTTGTCTTTTATTCAAGAAGCTATCTGACTGCTAACATAGGTTATGGGCCCAGGCACTGCCCACGTGTTATTGCTTCAAGAATAAAAGTTCAAAGTCATAAGAAAGAAGTAAAAGAAGTATTAATTCGCGGATTGTTTAGAAATTGAAAATTATGGCAAGTTCGGCGCAAATAGAAAAGCTGTGTGGAGATAACTATTCAAGTTGGTCGGTCCATATGAAGAGCTTGTTAATCACTTTGGACTATTGGAGTGTCATAGATGGGACATGTCCAATAACAGCAACCGCAGAGGAAAAGGCTGCTTGGAAAGTGATTGATTCTAAGGCGCTAGCAACAATCACGCTTTGTATAAAGCCGTCGGAATTAATACACGTGAAGTCGTGCAAAAATGCTAAGGAAGCTTGGAACAAATTAAGTTCCACATATGTTGGCAAAACTCCCGCCAGGAAGGTAAATTTGTTCAAAAGGTTGGTTAGATTTAAAATTCAAGATTCGATTGGATACCAACAACAAATAAATGAGTTCAGCTCAATGGTGGAATCATTAAGAGAAATTGACGTTTCACTACCAGAGGATTTTGTAAGTTTATTGTTGTTGTGCAGTCTCCCCGACGAATATGAAAGCTTCATAGTGGCGATGGAGAGTAGAGACATTCTGCCTAGTTGGGATCAGTTGAAGGTCAAAGTGTTGGAAGAGCATCAACGTCGAGGAGAGAAAATAGTAAATGGTGATGAACACGTGTTTGCGGCGAATTCAAGGCGGGCGAATAAGAAGAAAGGCAAACATGAAAAAGAGAGCGGTGAGCAGCACAGGCACAAAAATATTCGATGTTACTCATGCGGAAAGAGAGGTCACATTAAGGCGAATTGCAATAGCAAAGCGATGATAATGACAGCCAGAGAATCGAGCAGCTTAAACTCAAATGAGTGGATTGTAGACAGTGGCGCATCATCACATATGAGTGGAAATAAATGTGTGTTCTCTTCATTAAGAGAACTTAGGCAAAAGGTAATGCTGGCATCAGGTGATTGTGTATTTGCTGAGGGCATAGGCAATGTAAATTTGAAATCGGAGTTTACCGACATTACTCTATGCAATGTACTCTTCGTGCCAATGTTAAATGCAAATTTTTTGTCTGTTCACAAAATAATTGAGCATGGACATAACGTGCGATTTACGAAAGAGAATGTGTGCGCAAAAAATAAAAACAATCATTTGATTTTCGAAGCTCAGCCTAAAGGTGGAATATTTACCACAACATTTTATGTGAAAGAGGAATTGATGATGGTGAACGAGAAAGCTGATAATGCGCTGTGGCATCGTAGGCTGGGCCACTTAAATTGCAAAGATATGGAAAAGTTACAGAATCTGGAAATGGTGAGAGGACTGGCCATAGACCCAAAAGCTGAAATCGATTGTGTGACATGTGCTATGTGCAAGATGACTGTTAAGCCGTTTACTAAATATGGAGAACGTTTCAGTAAGAAGCCATTAGAGGTAGTGCATTCGGATATATGCGGTCCAATGCGAGTTGTAAGCGAAGGTGGTTCCAGATATTTCATATCTTTTATTGACGACTACTCACGCTTCGCGACAATCTATTTTTTGAGAAAAAAATCAGACGCCCTTAAAGTTTTCAAAGATTTCTGTACGATGTCAGAAAGACAGACTGGTTGTAAAATGAAAATTCTAAGAAGCGATAACGGGAGTGAGTATTTGTCTAACGAATTTCAACTGTATTTATCGTCGGCAGGCATAGAACACCAGACTACAGTAAAATACACCCCGCAGCAGAACGGAGTTGCCGAAAGATTAAACAGAACCGTAGTTGAGATGGCGCGGTGTATGTTATGTGACTCTAACCTTCCTCATTCTTTGTGGTCCGAAGCCGTCAACACAGCCACATACGTAAGGAATCGTTGCCCATCAAAGGTTTTGAAAAACAAGACGCCCTATGAATGTTGGTTTGGTAGAAAACCTACAGTGGCTCATCTTCGATGTTTTGGATGCGACGTTGTTGCCTTGGACAAAAAGCCAGGTCGGTCTAAGCTACAACCCAAAGGAAAGCCATATGTTTTTGTTGGTTATGCACACCAGTCGAAGGCCTACCGATTATACAACAAAGAATGCAGAAATATTGTTATTGCTCGTGATATTGTTTTCTTTGAAAAGAAATTTACAAATACAGTCGATACGGATGATGGAATAAAGCGGAACAAAGATGATTGGTTTAATGTTGAATTAAATCTTCAACCTTTTCCCGATAGCGAATGTCAACCCGAAAGAGGAATTCAAGAGAGCAACAATGCAAATGAATCGGATGACAACCATAGTGAATTCTCAACGGATGGATCAGTCAACGCGCAAGTTGGTGAGAAAAGAAAAAGAGGTAGGCCGAAAATAGTGAAAACGGGAAGAAAAGGACGACCAAAAAAAATATTCGTTGTGGAACCTACTCAAATTGTAAATAAAGTCGAAGAAATTAATAAAGATCCGAGTACGGTTGAGGAGGCGATGCAATCTTCCAACGCAAATGACTGGAGAAAGGCAATGAGAGAGGAATATGAGTCACTGATGAGAAAAAGCACATGGGAACTTGTGGAGAGACCAGATGGAAAGAATACTGTTGGTTGTAAGTGGGTGTTTGTCACCAAGAGAGACCCTTCTGGAAATATTGTTAAACACAAGGCACGACTTGTTGCTCAGGGATTCTCTCAAAAGTTCCGAATTGACTATAATGAAACGTACTCCCCAGTTGTGAGATTTACTGCTATTAGAATGTTGTTTGCTGTTGCTGCTGGTCGGAAGATGCTTGTCAACCATATCGATATTGTTTCTGCATACCTTAATGGTGAATTGAAAGAAGAGGTTTATATGCGGCAGCCGCCTATGTTTATTGACAAAAATATCCCAAATGGAGTTTGCAAGCTAAAAAAATCTATTTATGGTCTCAAACAGGCTGGCCGAGATTGGTATCGCAAAATAAACCAAATATTGCTCGATTTAAATTTTGTTCGCTGCAAGACTGATAGTTGCTTGTACGTGTTGCATAAGGAGGGAGAATTGGTAATGTTGGCTATTTATGTCGACGATATTTTACTCGCATGTTCAGAGGAGAACACATTAAGCGAGGTGGTACTGAGCTTGAATAAGTATGTGGATGCGATTGACAGAGGTCCGGTCAATTACTATTTGGGGATGGAGATAAAAAGAGACGGTCCTCGAGGAAATATATCAGTACATCAGTTATCGTATACAGAAGAATTGATTCGAGAATGGAATATGGAACAATGTAAGCCATTGTTTACCCCTTTTGTGGCTGGAACGGTCTTGGAAGCTTGTAAAGAAGATAACTGTCATGGATTTGATGTAAAAATATACCAGTCGTTAATAGGATCGCTGACATATTTATCTGCTGCCTCACGTCCTGACATATCACACATCGTGTCAAAGCTCTCGCAGTTTAATAGTCATCCACACAAGGAGCATTTTGTTGCAGCCAAAAATGTTTTGCGATACCTGAAGCAAAATCCAAAAGGTACGTTATCATTCAGTTCTTCTAATGATTTGGTATGTTACACAGATGCAGACTGGGGCTCAAATGTGGTGGACCGCAAATCATTTAGTGGATTTGTAATTTTTCTTGCTGGAGGTCCAATAACTTGGGAATCGAAGAAACAAAAGATCGTTGCACTAAGTTCCATGGAAGCCGAGTATATTGCCATGTGTCAAGGCACCAAAGAAGTGGTTTATATCAGAAGCCTACTTGCTGAAATAGGACTTCATGAATTTATCCAGTCAGCGACTACAATAAGATGCGATAACCAAAGTGCCCAGTTTATGGTTGAAAATCCAGTTGCTCACAAAAGGAGCAAGCATATAGATATTAGATATCACTACATACGTGAAAAGTTTGAAAATAAGGACATTGTTTTAGAATATGTGTCAAGTGATACTAATATAGCTGATATGTTTACTAAATGCTTGACCAAAGAGAAACATGTCAAGTTTTCGAAAATGTTATTTCAAACTGAAAATTAATTGAACGAATTATCTGTTTATGGAAATAGTATATGGGTTGAGGTAGGGTATGTAAAATACATCTGAAGATTCACCCTGTTTTGTTTCACAACCCATTTACTACTTCATACTTTTAGTACTAGTTTACTAAAGTTGTATTCCGTTAGGTTTTATAACTATCATCTCATTGTAACCTAACTACTTCTCTTTAAACCTTTGTTCAGTAAAGATTACTTTCTATCAATTACACAACTTGTCTTTTATTCAAGAAGCTATCTGACTGCTAACAACATGTTTATTGAATACTTGAAAAAATATTTTTTTAAAATTTACGTTTATAGAAAACTTGAAAAAATAATCTTAGAAAATTCACGTTTCTTGGATACTTGATTTTTTTTTTTTAAATCCACGTTTCTCTTTGGATTCTTGAAAAAATATATTTAAAAAAATACACAGTTCTTTTTGGATTCTTGAAAAAATATTTTTTAAGGTCCACTTTTATTGAATAATTGAAAAAATATTTTTTTTAATCCACGTTTATTGAATACTTGAAATAATATCTTTTTTTAAAGTCCACATTTATTGAATGTTTGAAAAATATTTTTTAAAAAATCCACGTTTATTGAATACTTGAAATTATATCTTTTTTTAAAGTCCACTTTTATTGAATGTTCGAAAAAATATTTTTTAAAAAATTCACGTTTATTGAATACTTGAAAAAATAATTTTTAAAAAATCCACGTTTATTGAATATTTGAAAAAATAATTTTTAAAAAATCCATGTTTGTTGATTTTGGAAAAAAATTAAAAGAATCCACGTTTGTTGATCTTTGGAAAAACTATATTTTTTTAAAAAATCCAGGTTTGTTAATCTTTGCAAAAAATATTTTTTAAAAAATCCACGTTTATTAAATACTTGAAAAAATATTTTTTTTTAAATCCACGTTTATTCGACTTTGGAAAAATATTTTTTTAAAAATCCACTTTTATTGAATACTTGAATTTTTTTAAATCCACGTTTATTGAATACTTGAAAATTTTTTTTTTAAAAATCCACGTCAGTTGATCCTTTGAAAAAATATTTTTTTAAAAATTTCGAATAATTATTTTTGTAATATGTGTTGTTGTTTTATTTAGGTTGTCGTTGGTGATGTTATTAATCATTACCGTGCGGTGTCTTCCCTAACTGATGAGCATTTCCAATGAAGGGCAACATCTTTGGACCCTGGGTATGTGCGATTTTTCGACGTTTTCTGGCATAGAATTGTTCCTTGTAAACGATCCACAACACGGGTATTAGAATTAATAATAACAATAGCATATTTTCTATTTATTTTTGAAATTATTTATTTAATGTTTAACTTATTCCATATAAATACATTTTTTTAATTTAATCGATTAAAGCAATGATCCGTCAACGACGCGACGTTGGCTACGTTTAGACCGTGGTGAGACTAATGAACATCACTTAAAGACGGTTCTATTGAGGTGAATGAAATGCCATAGTTTTGGGTAAGAGTAGAATGCGTTAAGAGAGTTGAAAAATGGGGTGTTGCCACTTTGGTATGATCCGACCAAATTGGTCGGAAATTGTTTTCGTTCAAAATTTATGATCTATGTGGTTTTTATGAGTTTTGCGAACGAAATTGCCATTTTGGTATGTTCCGACCAATTTGGTCGGAATTTTTTTTATGTAGAAAATGGTCGATTTGGCTTATTTATGTTCATTTGAGTGTTAATAAACGCAAATTAGGTGAGTATTTTCATATAGCATTATTTCTACTAGGGCCTAACAGCTGTGAATCTCAAAAAAGACCAATTTGACCAAATTTTTCGCTTGGAGTTAATAAATTTCTTCTATGAAAATATAACTGTATATTTGAAAGTTAATATTATTGGTACAAACCTTTAATGCAAATCGACAACACTGCCTTGATAGGAGCACAGAAAACCTACCGCCAACATCAGTTGGAATGGAAGTGTCTCTGCTGCGACAATCATTTTGACACTGTTTTTGTATTTTCTTCAATTCTCTTTTGAGTTAATTTTAATGATCGCAGATTTATGTGCAATAAAATTCAGGGAGATACCCCAACAGCAAACATAATGCGTAACTTCGTATTGTAGGTTGTTATGAATGCTAAGATTTGTGGGCAAATAAAAACAAACAAACATGAATGAGATATGAATCGGATCCAGAGATGGGAAATAGTAATTTGCAAATTTTTTTTCTTTTTTTGAAGGTCTAGAAGGTCCAGAATATTTTTCTTTCTTTTGACACCACTAAATTTTAAATTCTCGTGGGCCAGAGATGGAAAGTGATAATTTTCTAATTTTTTTTTTGATTTTTTTTTTCAAAGGAAAATTTTCGTTCTTTCGTTGAAGGTATTTTTAAGGGCAACAAAAGATTTTCTTTTAAAAAAAAAATTGTAGATTTTTACTTTCCATCCCTGGATTTTAAAATCGAGTATTTTTAAGGGCAACGAAAAATTTTCTTTTGAAAAAAAAATCGAAAAAATTTGTAGATTCGAGAATATTTTTTCTTTCTTTTGACACCACTGAGAATTTAATGCGTGGGCCAGGGATGGGAAGTAATAATTTTCTAATTTTTTCTTTTTTTTGTCAAAGAAAATTCTTCGTTGCCCGGTTGAAAATCCAAAAAAAAAAATCATTCGACAAAAACTCTCCACCATATCAGATCAATTGACAGAGGCTGGGATACAAATCCAGGAAAAACTTTTGTTAATTTAAAATTTTGAAAATTTCGTAAATAGAGATAAGGGACAATCTTCTTTCGCTCAAGGTGTTAAAGCACACATTTTTTTGAAGCATAGGATCGGCGAGAACAAGACATAAGTGGAATCATATTACCAAGGATTGGCAATCCGAAAGGCATTTTCGAAATTTTCAAAATTTTCAATTACCGAAAGTTCCTCCTGGATTTGTACCCCAGGCTCTGCCAATTAATCTGATATGGTGGAGAATTTTTGTCGAACGATTTTTTTTATTGTATTTTTAGGCGAGTATTTTTAAGGGCAACAAAGACTTTCGTTTGAAAAAAATTCAAAAATTTTGTAGATTTTTACTTTCCATCTCTGGATGTTTAAATCGTGTATTTTTAAGGACAACAAAGATTTTTCTTAAAAAAATCAAAAAAAAAAAAATAGTAGATTCTTACTTCCCATCCCTGGGCCACGTTTTATATTCTCAGTAGAGAAAAAAATACTTCCTTGTTCGATTTTTTCGAATCAAGAGAATTATCTCTTACAGGTATTCAGAGCCCAGCATCGAACTCAACACTCAACGAGATCTGTTGAAGCGTGCAATGTTTGTCATAAATTACAACTGCATTTGACAATAGAATTGCAACGCTCATGCAAACCGATACAATGCCCAACCATAGTAGGAATTTCAAGTCCATGGACTACAGTAAGGCCTTGATAAATGCAACAAATTTCACTTTCTTTTAAAAATCATTTGAATTTCTTCATCTTTTCAATTTTTTTCAAAGAAAGGGGAATTTCAAGAGCCGCTTGGAGTCTCTGTGCCCTTCCAGTCATCTTGTGAGGGGGTTTAACTGTATCATACATAGCCTATATGAGATCACATGTAATGTTCATGTTTCCATCGTTTCATTTTCAATTCCATTCGAGTCATAAAAACAAAAATCATGTTGTTTTGTTTACATTTTACAATTCAAGATCAAATGACAAATCTGAAATGATTGATTTTTTTTGATTTGATTTTTTTGCTAAATAATTTATGGTCTGGTGATTGTAACTTTACTTGAAATGTTTGTGCAAAACAGCCCTGAAAAATATTTGCAGTTGATCTTGCGAAAAAATATTTTTTTTTTTAAAAATTTTAAAAAATCCACGTTTGTTGATCTTGCGAAAAAATATTTTTTTAAAAAATCCTCGTTTGTTGATCTTGCGAAAAAATATTTTTTTAAAAAATCCTCGTTTGTTGATCTTGCGAAAAAATATTTTTTTAAAAAATCCACGTTTATTTGGTACTTGAAAAAAATAATTTTTAAAAAATCCACGTTTATTTGATACTTGAAAAAATAATTTTTAAAAAATCCACGTTTATTTGATACTTGAAAAAATAATTTTTAAAAAATCCACGTTTATTTGATACTTGAAAAAATAATTTTTAAAAAATCCACGTTTATTTGATACTTGAAAAAATAATTTTTAAAAAATCCACGTTTATTTGATACTTGAAAAAATATTTTTTAAAAAATAAACGTCTATTAAATACTTGAAAAAAATATTTTTTAAAAAGTCGCGTTTGTTAATAATTGGAAAAAATATTTATTTTAAGAATCCACTTTTGTTAATAATTGGAAAAAATATTTATTTTAAAAACCCACATTTGTTAATAATTGGAAAAAATATTTTTAAAAAAATCCACGTTTGTTGATAATTTGGAAAAAATATTTTTTTAAAAAATCCACATTTATAAGATACTTGAAAACATATTTTTTAAAAAATCCACATTTATAAGTTACTTGCAAAATATTTTTTAAAAAATCCACGTCTATTGAATACTTAAAAAAGTATTTTTTTAAAAACATGTTTATTGAATACTTGAAAAAAATATTTTTTTAAACAATCCACGTTTATTGAATACTTGAAAAAATATTTTTTTTAAAAAATCCACGTTTATTAAATATTTGAAAAAATATTTTTTTAAAAAATCCACATTTGTTGATCTTTGAAAAAAAATATTTTTTTTAAAAAATCCACGTTTGTTGATCTTTCGAAAAAAATATTTTTTTTTTTAAAATCCACGTTTGTTGATCGTTCGAAAAAATATTTTTTAAAAAATCCACGTTTATTGATCTTTCGAAAAAAATATTTTTTAAAAAATCCACGTCTATTGAATATTTGAAAAAGATATTTTTTAAGAAATCCACGTTTCTTGATAATTGGAAAAAATATTTTTTTTAAAAAATCCACGGCTATTAATTACTTGAAAAAAATATTTTTTAAAAAATCCACGTCTATTAAATACTTGAAAAAAATATTTTTTATAAAATTCAAGTTTGTTGATCTTTTTTGTTGATCCTTGGGAAAAATATTTTTTGATCCTTGATCCTTTTTTAAAATAATAATAATAATATTTTTTCTATTTTTTCTATGTTTTTTTTTTTTTTGTCCCACATTCTCAATTTCTTTTATTATAAATACAACAAAATATTTACAATAACAACTTATCTCTAATCCCCCTATTTCCTCTCCCTCATCCTCAGCATAATACCATTATCGGATTTCAAAGTCAAAACCATTGCCAAATTAGGATCATATTTATGCAGCTCCGATCTCTTTTCCCGATGGGGTCCAAAATAATTGCTCACATAGCCATCCTTGGACTCCAACTCATCGAGGGCGGGTAAAATTTCAAAATGTCTCACAATTTTCGATATCACAGTTTTAATTTCGAGTTGGGCAAATTTCTGACCAATGCAGTTACGTGGCCCTGCACTGAAGGGTACATAATCGAAGGGATTATGGTCTTCGGCACTACTTTTGGCCGTGGCAGCAAAACGTTCCGGATCGAAACGATAGGGGTCGGGGAAGGTTTTCTCATTGTAACCCAATGCCATGATGAAAATTATGGCCGAGGTGTCAATGGGCAGGGTTTTGCCATCTGGAGGGGTTAAAAAATACGACAACATTTAGAGGTTATTCAAAAAAAAAAAAAAAATCCGAATATTTATCCTTACTCATACTGTATTCCTTATCCGTGTGCCGTCCAATCATCGGCACACTGGGATATAATCTCAGGGATTCTTTGATCACCATATCCAAATATTTCATATCGGCCAGTTCTTGGAATGTGGCACTGCGTTTCATATCCGCTCCCATTATGGCCTTTTGTTCCTCGTAGACTTTCTTCTGTACCCCCAGATGGCGGGAGAGGAGATATGTAATAAACGACAAGGCTGACGTTGTTGTATCATGTCCTTCGAACATAAATGTTGAGACTTCTTCATAGATTTCCTGGATGGTCAGGGGTCGACCATCTACGGTGGAGGACAGCAGGGTGTCGAGGAAAGCCATTTTGGGTTTCTTGAAATCAGATTCGGGGGACTGCGGATTGTTTGCCTCCTGCTTGGCTTCTTCTTCGCGCTTACGCAGTTCCATGCGTTTTTGAATGACCTGGAATAGAGAAATGAGAGACCTTTTTTATCAGAATTCTGATGCCTACTTTCAGGCTAAAGAATATTTCCCATGGACTTTAAGGACAATAATCGTGAATTTATTAAAGAATGTTTCCCAAGGATCTTAAGGACAATAATCGTGGATTTTTTTCAAAAAAAGGTTTTCAAACACGACCAGGACTATAATTGTGGAATCTTCAAAAAACAATCTTTAAGGACTTTAAGGACAACAATCGTGGAGTTTTAAAGAATATTTCCCAGGACTTTAAGGACGACAATCGTGGATTTCGCAAAGAATATTTCCCAGGACTTTAAGGACAATACTTTAAGGACTATTGCCAAAGAAATTTAGGGACCATAATCGTAGATTTTTCCAAGAACCACAAGGACTATAATTGCGGATTCTTTAAAGAATATTTTCAAGGACTTCGAGGACAATAATTGTGGATTTTTCGGGAATAGTTTTCAAGGACTTACTGGGTATTTTTTAAGGAAAATATTTGAAGGTCTCTCAAAACACTACTGATGGATTTCCTATTGAAAATTTTGCTAGAATTATTCAAGGACATTCTAAAGGACATCAGGGCAATATTTGAGGATTTTCTTGAGGAATATTTTAAAGGCCATTCCGGCCACTTTCCGAAAGAATATTTAAAAGGATTAACAAGGAAATTTTCCTGGATTTTGAAAGAGCATTCTGCTTAGCATTTTAAAGATTATTTTGATGGGCTTAATCAGGGATCACTTTAAAGAACATTCTTAAGATTTTTTTTCTTTGAAAAAAAAATTTTTTTTTGAATAGTCCACCTTCGTTGATAATTGGAAAATATTTTTTAAAAAATCCATGTTGTTGATAATTGGAAAAAATATTTTTTAAAAAATCCACGTTTGTTGATAATTGGAAATAATATTTTTTAAAAAATCCACGTTTGTTGATAATTGGAAAAAATATTTTTTAAAAAATCCACGTTTGTTGATAATTGGAAAAAATATTTTTTAAAAAATCCACGTTTGTTGATAATTGGAAAAAATATTTTTTAAAAAATCCACGTTTGTTGATAATTGGAAATAATATTTTTTTAAAATCCACGTTTGTTGATAATTGTAAAAAAAAATTTTTTTGAAAATCCACGTTCGTTGATAATTGTAAAAAAAATTTTTTTTGAAAAATCCACGTTCGTTGATTATTGGAAAATTGATAATTAGAAAAAATATTTTTTAAAAAAAATCCAGGTTTCTTGATCTTTCAAAAAAATATTTTATATTTTTTTGAATAATCCACCTTCGTTGATAATTGGAAAAAATATTTTTTAAAAAATCCACGTTTGTTGATAATTGGAAAAAATATTTTTTAAAAAATCCACGTTTGTTGATAATTGGAAATAATATTTTTTTAAAATCCACGTTCGTTGATAATTGTAGAAAAAAATTTTTTTGAAAATCCACGTTCGTTGATAATTATAAAAAAATTTTTTTTTGAAAAATCCACGTTCGTTGATAATTGGAAAAAATATTTTTTAAAAAATCCACGTTCGTTGATAATTGGAAAAAATATTTTTTAAAAAAATCCAGGTTTCTTGATCTTTCAAAAAAAATATTTTTTTTTGAAAAATCCACGTTTGTTGATAATTGGAAAAAATATTTTTTAAAAAATCCACGTTTGTTGATAATTGGAAAAATATTTTTTAAAAAAATCCAGGTCTCTTGATCTTTCGAAAAAATATTTTTTTGAAAAATCCACGTTCGAAGACAATTGGAAAAAATATTTTTTAAAAAAATCCAGGTTTCTTGATCTTTTAAAAAATATTTTTTAAAAAAATCCAGGTTTCTTGATCTTCCAAAAAAATATTTTTTTAAAAAAATCCACGTTTGTTGATCTTTCGAAAAAATATTTTGTTAAAAAATCCACGTTTGTTGATCATGGATAAAAATATTTTTTTTAAAAAATCCACGTTTGTTGATCATGGAAAAAATATTTTTTAAAAAATCCACGTCCATTAAATACTTAAAAAAATATTTTTTAAAAATTCGCGTTTATTGAATGCTTGAAAAAATATTTTTTTAAAAATCCACGTTTATTGAATACTTGAAAAAATATTTTTTTTTTTTAAAATCCACGTTTTTTAAATACTTGATTTTTTTAATCCTCGTTTATTGAATTCTTGAAATTTTTTTTTAAAGTTCACGTTTGTTGATCATTGTAAAAAAATTTTTTTAAAACATTTTTAAGGCATTATCGAGTAAATTTCGAAGGAATTTTTTGAAGTGCCTCCTGGGCACCTTTCATGGGCATACTTACATCATAGGTGAACTCCTTCAAAATCTGCAGAGTCTTACAATACTGCCTGAATTCGGGGAAAAATTGATAGGTAAAATTCTTTCTTTTCAGGGGATTGAAGGCACGCATGTTGATATTGCAGCAAATGCTGGAAAAAATAAAAAACAAATTTAAAAATAAATTAAATTTTCTATCTCCACGAAACTCACAATTCCACGGCCTTGGCAAAATCCGTGTGGGGATTATCCATGGCATTGATGCTGACACCCATGGCGGTATCTGAAAACATGAAATCCCATAAAAAAAAAAAAAAAAAAAAAAAAATTCCTCCTCCCCACCAAAAACTCACCACAAATCACATCCAATGTCAAATAGTTGACCATGCCCTGAAAATCGAAAATATTATCTCCCCTCGATATATCCCTCAGTTTTTCCATGAATTTACTCGAATTTGCATTCATAACCTCGTGGAAATCTTGGAGAATTTTAAAATGAAATGAAGGTGTTATCATCTTGCGATGTTTATGCCATTTGCTGCCTTTGCTCGTCAGCAGGCCATCACCCAGCCAGGGATGCATCATGTCGTAGACATCGGATTTGGCTATCAACTCATTGCTGGCCAAGACGTACTAGAGGGGAATATTTTTTTGAAGGGGGAAAGGAAAAATTATTAATAAATTTTTTGATATTTAAAAAATTGAAAACTTACCTCCACATCTTTGGGTTCGGAAATTACCACATACAGATAGTAGCCAATCCAGGCCCGAAAATTCCCATATTTATAGAAATTGTTGAACATAAAGTGAAGGGCGGCTGGAAAAAAATAATTTAAAAAAAGAATATTGAAAATTAATGAATAATGAAAATAATATTGAAAACATACAGGCCCAGATGAAAAAAATCCAAACTTCAAAAATCTTCAAAAATTTTGAGGATTTTTTTATTAAAAAATTAATTTTTTTAGTCCATTTCGGCCATTATTGGAAAGAACTCCATTGCTTTAGTTCATCTTAAAATTTTGTTTAATTTTTTTTTTTATAATTTTTTCAATATTTTAAAATGTATATTTTTTCATTTTTTCACAATAATTTCACTACTCAATTTTCCAATCTCAATTTTAAAATCTATATTCCAATTTCCTGAAATTACCGACCTGTGTCCACTCTCAAAACACGTGCCATTAACATTCCCACCGAACTCGTTATGTTTAGAATTTAAATACTGAAGCTAATTAATTATCGCAAAAAAAAAAAAGAAATTAAAAATAAAATTATTTGCAACCTGAAATCATTAAACAAGAGAGATACAATCCGGTTTTCAACCAACTTCAATATTTTTATAAGTGCGTCATAATTTATTAAATTAAAGTTAACGTAATTTGAAATATAGGCATTTCTCAAAGGGGTCAGAAAAAAAAATGAATTAAAAAATGATCAGAAAAAAATAAAAAAAAATTGGTCCAAAGAAAAATTTTCTATAGAAAAAACTCTGACCCAAGGGGCCACAGAATTTTTTCTATAGAAAAAACTCTGACCCAAGGGGCCACAGAATTTTTTCTATAGAAAAAACTCTGACCCAAGGGGCCACAGAATTTTTTCTATAGAAAAAACTCTGACCCAAGGGGCCACAGAATTTTTTCTATAGAAAAAACTCTGACCCAAGGGGCCACAGAATTTTTTCTATAGAAAAAACTCTGACCCAAGGGGCCACAGAATTTTTTCTATAGAAAAAACTCTGACCCAAGGGGCCACAGAATTTTTTCTAGAGAAAAAACTCTGACCCAAGGGGCCACAGAATTTTTTCTAGAGAAAAAACTCTGACCCAAGGGGCCACAGAATTTTTTCTAGAGAAAAAACTCTGACCCAAGGGGCCACAGAATTTTTTCTATATTTTTTCTTGATCCCAGAGGTCTTTTCCAAATAAAAATTGAAATTAAAACAGGTATTACAAACGGAATGACAATCTTAATATACCCTCCATACTATGGTGGAGAGTATAAAAATGCCTTTCATTCGGAACTTTCGTGCACTTGACTTAGCTAATCATCAGGTTAATGTACATATAATTTTATTGTCATACTTATGTACGTGTGAGTGTGTGTGTATGAGTGATTGTTACAGATTATAAATTTATTTGTTTTTTTTTTGCTGTTCACCTCTACCAACTATAATTATCTGAAATGAGCGATTTTTGCTAATAATCCAATTGGTGGAATACATGGAAATATGAGAATGTACACGTTGGGCGCCACTTTTTATTTATAAATAAAAAAAACCAACATTTAATACTTTGCAAATTAAAAATTCATTTGGAAAAATTATTTTTAAATTATTTCGAGCAATATAAAATTAAGAAATGATAGAAATGCTTGAAATCAGACACATCGAAGGACCAAAATTGAAAAAAGAAATCAGGAAGTCTTAAAAGAAAATACGTAACTTATATTTCGTTTCATATTAGAGAAATCAAGTACATAAAAAAATATTTAATATATATGGGAACGATGAATTCACGACTTATGTTTCAGAGTGGACACTTGCTCCACGTTGGGCGCCACATCATTCTTCGTACTAAATTTTTGAGACTTTCCAGGTTGTACATATTATTCAAGTTTTTTCCTTTTTTGCTTCACTTCCAGCGCACAATGGCCACCAAAATCTCCAGATACCAATCCGTTGAGCTATTGTGTCTGGAGTATTTTGGAAAGCAAGGTTGGCACTAATAAATACCAAAGTGTCGAACACCTCAAGCAAGTGCTTCCCCGGGAATGAGCCAAAATAACGCAGAGCAACATTCGGGCAGCGTGTGACGGTTTCATTGGCCGTTTAAAGGTGACCAATTCGAAAAAATCTAAACTCATTCAAAATTTGATGCTATTTCCGCCAATTTTTGCTTTCACTCAATAAAATTTAAAAAAAAATGTAAAAATTATGGCATTTGACTTTGTTGCAGTTTTTTATCTCACCCTGTATATATTCTTGATCAGCATAAAATTCTATGTCGATTTAACGATGTCCGTCGGTCCCTCTGTGGAAATCACTCTAGCTTCCGAACGAAATGAAGTAGGTTGATAAAATTTTACTCAAATGTGTACTATGTCTGCAGAACTTTTGGTATTGAAAATGAGCCGTGGACCTAGTCTTCGTATAGCCCCCATATAACGGTGCCGCCCGATATTCGGTATTTTGATGATTTTAGCGACGTTATTTATCCGAACTATTTTAAATTTAGTATTTGAAGTTCGTAATGAATTCCACAGCCTATAACAGAAAATTGTCTGCGCAGGTCCACGTCTTCGTATAGCCTCCATATAGCGGTACCTCCCGATATTCGGTATTTTGATGATTTTAGCGGCATTATTCACCGGAATTGTTTTAAATTTGGTATTTGAAGTTCGTAATGAATACCACAGCCTATGACAGAAATTTGTCTGTGCAGGTCCATGTCTTGTTATAGCCCCCATATAACGGTACCTCCCGATATTCGGTATTTTGATGATTTTAGCGACATTATTCACTGAAATTGTTTCAAATTTGGCATTTGAAGTTCGTTAGGGATACTACAGCCTTTGACAGAAAATTGTCTATGCAGGTCCAGGTCTTCGTATAGGCCCCATATATCAGTTCCTCCCTATATTAGGTATTTTGACGGGTTTTGGTGCAATACCCACCAAAATAGTTTGAGATGTCGTATTAGAAGTTCGTAATGGATGCTACAACCTGTGACAGAAAATTGCCTATGCTGGTCCAGAACTTCGCCCAGCTCCGATATTACGGCACCTCCCTATATACGTTATTTTGATGATCTTAGCTACATTATTCACTTCATTTTTTCAAGTGTCGCATTTGAATATTGTAATGGCTTATGGAAAACAATGCCTATGTAGGTCCACGTCGTATAGACCCCAATATAACGGCTATATTCTGTATTTTTAAAATTTTAACAGAATTTGTGAAGGATTTTATGAGGCAATTCTGTCTTAAACAAGACGGCGCTCCACCGCACACAAGTCGCATAACAATCGATTTTCTGAAGAATTTGTTTCCGTGCCGTTTGATGTCGAAAAGTGGTGATTTGGACTGGCCACCGCGTTCGCCCGATTTGACGCCGCCTGACTTCTTCTTGTGGGGATATTTGAAGTCAAAGGTTTACGTTAACAAGCCAAGGACCGTAGAAGAGCTCAAGGACAACATTCGTGAAGAAATAGCCGCTATTCCGGCCGAAATGTTGGCAAAAACGATGGAAAATGCAGCAAAAAGGGCACAGTACGTCATCAACGCCAGAGGCGGCCATTTGAGAGATATCATATTCAAAAATTGATGTAAACAAATCTACTTGGAACAAATCAAATTTTTATTTTTTTCTTTGATTTAAAAAAAAAAACATGGGTCCGTCGAATATGGGCAACCTTGTATAGGAAGTAGTCGATATAGTCCAAATAATATTTATTTCAGTCTTAGGTCAAATACGAATCGGGCAGTATTGTTCTTGTGCTTCAGATCCTTCCCCATAAAGGGCCAACAGTTTGAATGATCATAACTCATGGTTGGGGGTATACGTCTGTCGACAAGACCGACTGATACTATTTTACTTGTTTTTATAAAAAAATGTCCTCCGCCACTAAGGAGCATTCTTTTTTTCCTTCAGAAAAAATCCTGAGTTGCTGAGAATTAATTTTCTTTAAAAAAGTTAAATTTCTAAAGATCGGTTTTTTATGACAAAAAATCCAATAACTGATTTTTTTCAGTTATTGAGGATCCATTTTGTTCTCTCGAAAAATATGTTCAATAACTTACGACTTTTTCTACTCTACTTCTATAGAGTTTTCTGTTTTTGAATCGATAACGCCGGATTTTATTTAAAAAAAAAATATCAGCAACAGATTTTTTTATTTTTTGTTATCAGTAACTCAATTTTTCAGTTTTTAAGGATCAAATTATCTTCAGTAACTGGCGATAAAAATAAAATATTTTTTAAGTGTTTGTTTTCTCTTTCGAGACGAGCTTAATGATCTGAAATTTGCAGTGAAAAGGAAAGCCAGATAGACACTATCACACACTCACCACTATGCGACGCGTTTCGCCGTTGGTTAAGCGGCTCATCAGGCATATTTGATGTGGATGATGGCTTACAAGGGCCGTTCTCTGGAAAGTAGTATATATTTCGAACTTATTGCAAATTAGCATATGCGAATTATACAATAGAAACTCTCCAGGTTCGACTCAAGTTCTATTGGCAGATCTTTTTCACAGCAACGTTTTGTTTTTGTAGTGATGGATTTTTTTGCAAATTTCAGATCATTAAGCTCGTCTCGAAAGAGAAAACAAACACTTAAATCATAAAACATATGATCTTCGCCTTAACAAGGCAAAACTCTAAAATATTTTTTTTTCAAACAAAAAATTTTAAATCGATAACTCCAGATTAAAAAAAAAAATCAGCAACAATTTTTTTTGTCAGTAATTTATTTTTTTTTTGTCAGTTATTGATGATCCGATTATCTTCAGTAACTGGCGATACTTTTTTTTTTCTTCAAATAAAAAATTTTAAATCGATAACTCCAGATTTTTTTTTTTTTTTTTTTCAAAAAAAATATTAATAATAATTTTGTCAAATAATGTTCTTTTAGACAACTATAATTCACTTCTTAACAGGTCATAAAGTTAATTGGACTTGGAATTAAAAAATTCACAATTTCATGAATTTTTATAGGATCGTGTTTTGAATCTATTCAAAAATTTAAAGGTGAAGAAAAGAAAATGAAATTTTTTTGAACTTTAACACATGCCCCGGGAAAGGGCAATGATGATATCTCAGTTAATTTTTTAAACTGAACTTTAACTTTATTTATCATTTTGCGAAAATGTTTTTAATTCAATGTACAATTCAGTTTATATCCAAATATAAAGAGATAACAATAGTTTCAATAACATAACAATAACACTGACTTAAATTTTCAGAATTTTTCCGTTATTAACAAAAAAAAAAATAGACAACAGTTGACTTATCAGTACACACTTTCCCCATAATTTTCTCTTTGCTGAGGGTTTTTTTTTTCAAAATATTCATAATTCAATTTTTTGCTAATCTTAATATTTTTAAACGTTTTTTTTTAATATTTGTTTTTTAAATGTTTTTAAAATTTATTTAATATTTTTTTACTAATATAAATATTTTTAAATGTTTTTTTAATATTATTTTTTTTTAAATATTTTTTTATATTTTTTTTACTAATCTCAATAATTTTTAAATGTTTTTTTTTTAATATTATTTTTTTTTTAATTTTTTTAAATATTTTTTTTTATATTTTTCTTTTACCCGTTGGCGTTTTTCCCAACTGATGGGCATTGCCAATGAATGGCAATGTTGGCGGGCCCTTGGTGTGGGCTATTTGTTGGCGCACTCCGGAATATTTAATCTCCTTGTACACTATCAGCAATAAAAGCATGATTAATATTAGCAACAGAAACATATTTAATTTTTTTATTCTTATTTTTTCCTTTTTTTGTAATTTCTTTTATTATTTGCCGATCCCGAGTTTGAGCTGTGTTCGATCGCGTTCTTGGCGGCAAAATAACTGATCAGCCAGTTTGTTTATCAAATTTTATAGAATAAATTATTTTTGCGATTTTAAAACAACTGTAAGTTGTTTTGAAATGTTAATCTGTTCAACGTGAACTCCAAAGCAATTCACGGGAGAGAGAGAGAGAGTTGAGGAGAGAATGAATATGGAGAAAGGCATTACCTTAGGTAATGAGAAACTAGTTATGTGAGAGATGGGAGAAAGAAATAAGGTAGAGAGCGAAAGTGTGTGTGGGGGAGATTGGGAGTAAGTGTATAACATGTTTGGTGCAAGTTGTTGATAAATTATTTATTGTTTTGATTTGTTGCAATCATGCAGGGTTGCCATCAGAGGAAAATATCGAAAAATAGTCGTAATTTTAACTGATAAATTTTATTATGATTTTTAAACAATATCAACATATTTTGCAATGTTATTATATTCAAAGCAATTTGAGAGAGAGAGAGAGAGAGAGAGAGAGAGGGGGAATGTAGAGAGCGAAAGTATGTGAAAGGGGAGGGGGATTGGAAGTAAGTGTAGAACATATTTAGAGTCATTTGTTGATACGAAATTTATTGTTTTGATTTGTTGTAATTAAACAGGGTTGCCATCATAGGGAGAAATCGAAAAAATTGTCGTAATTTTTAAGAATTAATTATATTATGATTTTTAAACAATATCAACTTGTTTTGCAATGTAAATATATTTATTTATATTTATATATATTTTTGAGAGAGAGAAAGAGAGAGAATGTAGAGAGAGAAAGTATGTGTGGGGGAGAATGGGAGTAAGTGTTGAAAATGTTTGGAGTAAGTTGTTGATAATTATTTTTTTTTTGATTTGTTGTAATCATGCAAGGTTGCCATCAGAGGAAAATATGGAAAAAATAGTCGTAATTTTAACGGATAAATTTTATTATGATTTTTAAACAATATCAACATATTTTGCAATGTTATTATATTCAAAGCAATTTGAGAGAGAGAGAGAGGGGGAATGTAGAGAGCGAAAGTATGTGAAAGGGGGATTGGGAGTAAGTGTAGAACATATTTAGAGTCATTTGTTCTTACGACATATATTGTTTTAATTTGTTGTTATTAAACAGGGTTGCCATCATAGGGAGAAATCGAGAAAATGGTCGTAATTTTATAGAATCAATTATATTATGATTTTTAAACAATATCAACATTTTTTTCAATATAAATATATTTAAAATAATTTGAGAGAGAAAGAGAGAGAGAGAAAGAGAGAGAGAATGTAGAGAGCGTAAGTATGTGAAAGGGGGATTGGGAGTAAGTGTTGAACATGTTTGGAGTAAGTTGTTGATAAAGTATTTATTGTAATCATGCCGGGTTGCCATCAGAGGAAAATATCGAAAAAATAGTCGTAATTTTAACGGATAAATTTTATTATGATTTTTAAGCAATATCTACTTGTTTTGCAATATTAATATATTTAAAACAATTTGAGAGAGGGGGAAAGAGAGAGAATGTAGAGAGTGAAAATATGTGAAAGGGGGGTTGGGAGTAAGTGTAGAACATATTTAAAGTCATTTTTTGATACGACATATATTGTTTTGATTTTTTGTAATTAAACAGGGTTGCCATCATGGAGAGAAATCGAGAAAATAGTCGTAATTTTATATAATAAATTCTATTATGATTTTTAAACAATATCAACTTCTTTTGCAATATTGATATATTTAAAAAATATTTTTTCTAATATTTTGGTCGAAATATATTATTACACACAATTTGGTCAGTTCATATTTTTTTTTTTTTTTTTTTTTTTTTGGTATTTTTAGATTGCATATTTTAAAAACTTATCGAGTTCTTGTTTATTTTGAACTTTTTTTTGAAATTTTGGTCGAAAAAATGTTAGCGTAAAAATTGGTCGATTTTAATTTTTAGTCGATTTTTTTAATAAAATCGAAAAAATTTTAGATTTTGTGTATAAAATTGTAGTAACATTGTCAAATTGTTGTTTTCTTGAAAATGCGGTCGAAAAAAGTTTTATTGGGAAAATTGGTCGAATTAATTTTTCGAAAAGAATTTTTTTTTCGAATTATTATCGTTTTTAAAAGTGTTTTTTTTCCTCTTGTGTACAACATTTTGCTTTTTCTTTTCAATACTCATTTTTAATTTAATTTTTTTTTGTGTTTATTTTCCTTAGATTTTTGGTCGGAAAATTACGTAGGTTAAATTTTTATTTTATTTTTAGTCTTTTTATAATATTGTTATTTATTTCCCTAATTTATTTATTTTAAATTTAATTATATTCTATATAAATATATTTTTAATAATTTGGGATTTTTTTTAAATTTGGTCGATTTGAAATTTTGGGCCATCCCATAGTAGACCTTTTGTTGACTCTATTAAAACATAGTTTAATTCACATTCTCAATTCATTTATTTCAACAGCATCGCTAATACCACCGTCCACCGAATTTATAAAGAATTTTCATTAGACGCCTCAAAGTATGCTTTATAATTTGGAACTTTAAACAAAGAGTTCTTGATGGCTTATTATTAGGTTTCATTATTACCTGCAATATTTGAGGAATTAAAAAGGTTAAAAAATATTGAAAATCAAATTAGGAATGTTTCGAAAATTCTCTTCTGACCCCTTAAAGTAATTTAATTTCCATATTTTTTTATTAATTAAATATTTTATTTAATATTATATTTAATTAAATGTATTATTTTATTTTCTCTCCCTTAAACGTATCAATACACCATTAGCTGATTTCAGTGTCAATACTGTTGCCAATTTTGGTTCGTATTTATGTGGAGGAGTCCCCACGTTCTTGTGTGGCCCAAAATATGTCGAAATCCGACCATCTTCGGATTTCAGATCATCCAACGCTGGTAATATTTCAAATTTACGTATAATTTTCGAAATGACTGTCTTGAATTCTAAAATTGCATATTTTTGTCCAACACAATTGCGAGGCCCAGCACTGAATGGTACACATTCGAAGGGATTGTAGGTACTTTGATCTTCACGCAGGCCGCTGAAACGTTCCGGATCAAATCGATAGGGGTCAGGGAAATTGTCTTCGTTATAACCCAAGGACATGAGAAATAGCAGCAAAGTGGTGCCTTTGGGTATGAATTTGTTATCTGAAAATATAAAACGAGAGGATTTTTTTTGGTAGGAAAAAATTTTTGGCCAAAGATTTTTTTGGTCGTAAAATTTTTTGGTCGAAAAAAAAATTGGTCGCTTTTATTTTTAATAAATTGATTAATTTAATATAATTTTGAAAGAAAAGAATTGCAAAGCAAATTTAACCGCTGTCAAAATTTCCCTACTTACTTATTTCAATATCCTCCTTGACAGCTCTGGCCACAAGCGGCACACTGGGATATATGCGCAACGTCTCCTTCAGCACCATATCCAGATATTTCATTTCACTCAATTCCTGAAATGTTGCATCGCGTTTCAAATCATCACCAATTATTAATTGTTGTTCCTCATAGACTTTCTTCTGGACCTCCAGATGTCGTGAGAGTAACAACACTGCGAAGCTCAGGGCGGAACTGGTCGTATCCTGGCCCTAAATTGAAAGGAATTAATGATTTGTACAAAAACAATATGGATTTTATGGATTACCGCAAACATAAAAGTGGACACCTCTTCGTAAATTTCTTCACGGGTCAAGGAACGTCCCTCAATTGTGGCCGAAAGCATAGTGTCCAAAAAGGCATGGCGAGGTTTAGCGGAGTCATCACTTGGTATGGCCGAGTCTAATTGGGAATTTTCTGCCAAACGCATTTTCATGCGTTTTTCGATAATCTAAAATATTAAAGGACAAAATGACATGATTGTCTATAGAGTTCTCGGACTAAATAAAAAAGAAAAATTGGCCGAAAAAATTTTGGTAGAAAAAATGTTATGTATAAAAATTGGTCGATTTCAAATTTTTCTTTTAAATTACTTTTATTCAAAATATATAAAAATGATGTATTTTATTTTTTGCGATATAACAATTTCCGACCAATTTTTTGGGAAGTAATTGTTAGAAAAAATTGGTCGAATTTCTTTTAAATTAAAAGTTGATTAATTTTAAGCTTTTTGAAGATTTTTGTTTTGTTGGCTTAATAGGGTTAAATTTTCGACCAAAAAATGAATGGAGAAAAATTTTTGGTCGAAAATTGTTTTTGTTGCAAAATTTGGTCGATTTTAAGTTTTTGATAGTTTTATTTTCACTATAATATAAATTATGTAAAAAAATATCCACAATGGTTGATTAATCAAGTTTTGACCAAAAAAATAATGGATTAATTTCTGGTCGAAAAAATTTATATTTGAAAAATTTGTGCGATTTTTTTTTTTTTTTGTGTTTTATGAGTAGTTGGCTTTAACAATGACTAAGTTTCGAACAAAAAAAGTTAGAAAAAATTATTTTACAGTATAACAATTTCCGACCAATTTTTTGGGAAGTTAACGATAAAGAAAAATTGGTCGAAATTCTTTTAAAGTAAAAGTTGATAAATTTTAAGCTTTTTAATGATTTTTGTATTGTTGGTTGTAATAAAGTTTTAAATTCCGCCAGAAAAAAAAAATGTGTGACCAATTTTTGGTCGAAAAATGCTTATTTTGCAAAGTTTGGCCGATTTTCAGTTTGTCATAGTTTTATTTTCCCACAATATAAATTATGTAAAAAAAATATCCAAAATTGTTGATAAACTAATTTTGACCCAAAAAATTAATGGAAAATTTTTGGTCGAAAAATTTTATGTTTGAAAAATTTGTTCGATTTTTGCTTTTTTTCTGTGTTTTATGCGTAGTTGGCTTTAACACTGACTAAGTTTCGACTAAAAAAAAGTTAGAAAAAATTATTTTGCAGTATAACAATTTCCGACCAATTTTTTTTTTTTTTTTTGGAAGTTAACGAGTTGAAATTGGTCGACTTTTTTTTAATAAAAGTTTATTTGTTCTATGCTTTTTGATGATTTTTGTTTTGTTGGTTGTAATAAAGTTCAAATTTCGCCCAAAAAACTGTGTGACCAATTATTGGTCGAAAATTTTTATTTTGCAAAATTGGTAAACTTTTACTTTTTTATGTTTTATAGGTAATTGGAAATCAATAATATGTTAGATTCGACCAAAAAAAAAAAAAAATTGGAAAAAATTTTGGTCGAGAAAAATTATGTTGCAAAATTTGGTCGATTTTAAGTTTTTCTTGGGTTTATTTTCCCATAATATTAATTATGTAAAAAAATTGATTAAACAAGAATAAAAATGTGGAATTTGGTCGATATATATATATATATTTTTCAATTTGGTATTAATTTACAACTTTTCCCAATTTATTTACCCACAAATTTTGGTATTTATTTTTAATTTTTATTTTTAACTTTATTGGTATTTATTTTAACAAATTTGTTTACTCACATTATAGATAAAATCCTTGAAAACATCCAGAGCCCTGTATAGCCTTTTACACTCGGGAAAGAACCGATAGATGTCTAGATTGCGTTTGATGGGATTGAACATTCGCAGCAGGCAGTTTTCGGCAATTCTAAGGAAGATGTAATGAGGATAAAAAACAGATATTTTATCAGAATCCAAAGTGCGAAAGAGTTTCTTCAAGTTATTTGGCCTAAGGAATCTCCCTAAATGGAGGATTATGTTTTGTTTTTGCAAAATTTCATGAATAATGAGCTTTTTTTGAGACACCCTAATGTTTATGTGTCGAGAAATTTTTTTATTGACAGGCCTTTTTTATATTTTTTTTGTCGTTGGATGAAAAAAATATTATTTTAATATTTTGTTTTGAATATTTTATGAGATACCCTAATGTTCTTAAAAACTTTTTTTGATATAAATTGTCTTCGAATATTTTTTTTGATAAACCCTAATGTTCATGTGCCGAGGAAAATATTTAATTTTCTTAAATGAAAAATTATCTTTATTTTATTTAAATTTTTTTATTTTTTTGTTTTTTTTTTTTTGAGACACCCTAATGTTCATGTGACGAGAATTTTTTTTTTTTTTTGAAAGGCCTATTCTAAAATATTTTTCGTTAGATAAAAAAAAAACTATTTTTTGAATATTTATGTTTTATTTTTATTTATTTTTTGAGACTCCCTAATGTTTATGGGCCCAGAAAATTTATTATCGAAAGGCCTATACTAAAATATTTTTCGTTAAATGGTAAAACTATCTTTTGAACATTTTACTTTTCAATATTTTTTTGAGGCACCCTAATGTTCATGTGCCAAGGAAAATGTTTAAATGAATTTATTTCAGAATATTTTTCGTTAGATGAAAAAACTATTTTTTTTTTAATATTTTATTTTTCAATTTAATTTTTTTTTGCGACACCCTAATGTTCATGTGCCGAGAAAATGTTTTTATTAAAAGGCCTATTCTAAAAAATTTTTCCTTAGATGAAAAAACTATTTTTGGAGTAGTTTTTGTTGTAAGTTTTATTGGACACCCTAATATTGATAAGAAACTGTTTTTATTTTTTTAATTTTTGAGCCACACTAATGTTCATGTGCCGAGAAAATTTTTTTATTGAAAGGCCTATTCTAAAATATTTTTCGTTAGATGAAAAAAAAACTATTTTTTGGAATATTTTATTTTTGATTTTTTTTTTAGTTTTTTTTTTTTTTTCTTTGAGACACCCTAATGTTCATGTGCCGAGAAATTATTTTTATTGAATGGCCTATTCTAAAATATTTTTCGTTAAATGAAAAAACTACTTTTTGATTTCTTTGTTTGTTTTTTTTTCTTTTGAGACACCCTAATGTTCATGTGACGAGGAAAAAATTTTATTGAAATACATATTCTAAAATATTTTTCGTTAAATTAAAAAAAATATATTTTTTGAATATTTTATTTTTGAGTTTTTTTATTTTTTTAGACGCCCTAATGTTTACACTGGTGGCCAAAACTAAAGCAACTTAAATCGCAAAGACAATAAATGTCCTGTAACTTTTACAAAAATAAACAAATCGTAATTATTTTTCCAGTTTTAAATGAGGGGTTTAATTCACTTTCAAGAAACTAAAAATAAAAATACAAAAATAATTTTGAACGAATAATAATATGTGGAAAACTAAAATGACCCAATTTTTGCTTGGTCAAAACTAAAGCAACTTTTGATTTTTTATTTTAAAATAATTAAATTTTGGCTAGTAGTCGATAGCATAACCATTATTTTTGATAGCAGCTGCACACCTACGAGGCATTGAATCTATAACACGCTCAATTTGATCCTTGGGTGTGCTTTCCCAGGCACCCCGAATTCTTTAGAAAAAGTTGTGCTTATTTATTTCCGAATCTCGCTTGATCTTCCTATCTACGATACTCCAAAGGTTTTCTATGGAGTTTAGGTCAGGTGATTGTGCCGGCCATAACAAAACATCAATTTTTGACTCCCGCAACCAATATTTGACAAGTTTTGATACAAGTTTGGGATCATTGTCATGCTGAAACACCCAAATCAGCCGAATATTTTACTCAGCGTAAGGGAACAACGTGATGTCCAACATATCTTTGTAAACAAACCGATCCACAACTTCCTTTATTTTACGGATAGGCCCAAATCCATAGAAAGAAAAACAGCGCCACGCCATTTTTGACCCACCCTCATGCTTCACTGTACCTTTGCAACACTGCGGCTTGAGTCCTTCATTTTTTGGTCTTCTCGTCGTAAAATTTTTCACATCTGAGCCTTTAATATTAAACGTAGACTCATCCCAGAAATAATGTTTTTTCCATTGAGCTTGATTCCACTTAATATTTTTGTTTCCGAAAGCCTTTTTGATTTTTTCAGATATAAATGGTTTTTTGGTGTCTTACGGGCATGCAGACCAGCTGCCACTACTCGTCTACGCACTGATCTCGAGTTTATATCCAATGATTGCTCTCTCACCAATCCAGTTGAACTCTTAAATGGTTGTTTTTTATTTCTCTCACAATTTGTGGATCAGTACGGGCTGAAGTTTTTCATGGCCTTCATCCGTTATTGACTGTTACTACTGATCCAGTTTCAAAAAACCGACTTAGTATACAGAAATAATTATGAAATCACATAAATATTTATGAAATATTTGTCGGAAATCATTTTCTGAGATATGTTGTTTTAATAGTCACTGATAATTTGCTGTTTTATTCAGGTACTGTATTTGCTTCTAGCCATTTTTAAAATTTTTTGGGCAGTACTTAAAAAACGAAAAGAAAAACACATACTGTTGTAAAAAACTTCTCAAAAAGGATTTATGACAAGCGAAGTTGTCGAAGGAAGCAAAAAGCGATAAATATCACAGTAAAAACAACTGAAATTGAAGCGGTTATATGAATATACAACGGAGTTGCTTTTGTTTTGTCCAAGCCAAAATCGGGTTAATTGACTTTACCAAACATTATTTTTTATATAAAAATGAATTTTGGTTTTATGTTTTAGGTTTTTAAAAAGTGAATAAAGTACCTTATTTAAAACAAGAAAAACTTTCTCATTTTCTTAATTTTTAAAAAAGTTACAGGGCATTCATTCTCCTTGTAATTTCAGTTGCTTTAGTTTTTGGCCACCAGTGTATGTGCCGAGAAATTATTTTTATTGAAAGGCCTATTCTAAAATATTTTTCGTTAAAAGGAAAAACTATTAGTTTTTTGTTTGTTTTTTCTTTTTTTTGAGACACCCTAATGTGACGAGAAAAAAATTTTATTGAAAGGCATATTCTAAATTTTTTTTTTAATATTTTAAATTTTTTTTGAGACACCCTATTGTTCATGTGCAGAGAAATTCCAACATTAGGGCGTGTTGAGAATTTTTTTTTTTTTTTGAAATGCCTATCCTAAAATATTTTTTGGTTTTTTTCTTGTTTTTCTAAATTTATTTTTTGGTCCCCCTTAACGTCTAGTACTTACAAATCCAAAGCCTTGACAAATTCCGAATTGGGGTTATCCATGGCATTGATGGGCACACCCATGGCCGTCTCTGAAAATAAAATCAAATAAAATATTAAAAAATTTCTAATCTTTGACCCTCCCTCCCCATTTACCACACATAATGTCCAGCGTCAAATTGTGCACCATTTTTTGAAAATCAAATATTCGTCCACCCTCCGCTCTCGCCCTGAGTTTTTCCACGAATTTTCCGGCATTTGAATTCATAACAACATGGAAATCTTGTAAAATTTTAAAATGAAACGACGGAGTTATCATCTTGCGGCGCTGATGCCATTTCGAGCCATTGCTGTTGACCAGACCCTCGCCAAGCCATATCTGCAGGACATCATACATGTCTGATTTTTCCGTCAGGCTATTGCTGCAAAGGATGTACTGGGGTGGTGTGGAAAAACATTAAAAAATTGAAAAAATAAAAATAAAAAAATAAAAAAATGAGAAGTCAAAAGTGGAAGGCCATTTTTCCTTAATCCTACCTCAATATCCTTGTTATCCGTGATCACAATATTCGGATAGTAGCCGATCCACAATTGAAAGTTTCCGTATTTATAAAATGAGTCGAAGAGGAAATTGAGTAGATCTGAGAAAAAAGATAAGGTAAATATAAAATAACAGGGATCTTCAGAACCAAAAAGGGATTTTTTGAGGAATTTTTTAATTTCAGACCGAAATCGGTCGAATTTTAAGAAACATTTTCCAAGGACCAGCAGACCCTCAAACCTTGGTTTTGAAAGATTTTTCCCAAAAAAAAGGAAACTTAGATAGACAAACCTGGAATATTTTTTCAAGGACCCTCAGACCAATAAAATTTTGAAATTAAAGAGGATTCTTAAGAACCTTAACCTCAGCCAATAGAAATCAATTTTTTTTCTGACTGAAACAAAAATAAATCTTCAAAAAATCCCTTCTTTTGGTGTGAGGCCACTTATAATTTTATATTTCCCCTTTTCCCAGATTTATAGAGGAAATTGAGTAGATCTTGGAAAAATGGGATGGAAATATAAAATAATCTTGTTAAGAAAATTTTTAAAGACATTTAAATTTTAGGCCGAAATAGGTCGATTTTTAAGGAAGATTTTCCAAGGACCATCAGACCTTCAACTCTTAATTTTGAATAAAATAAAAAAGGAAACGTTAAATATTTTTTCAAGGACCCTCATACCAAAAAATATTGAACCTTAAGAGTATTTTTCCAAGAACCTCAAAGGATCTTCAACCCAATAAAGGTATTTTTCTCCTGAAACAATTTTTTTTTTCAAAAAATGATTTTTTGGTCGGAAGCCTTTTATTATTTTATATTTCCCTAATTTACCAGGTCTTTACAGGAAATTGAGCAGATTTGAAAAAAAAACAGGAAAATATAAAATTAGGTCCCTAAAATTAGGTCCCTCAGCCCAAAAAGGGATATTTTGAAAAAATATATTTCAGGCCGAATTAGGTCGATTTTTGAAGGATATATTTCAAGGACCATCAGACCCGCAAACCGTGAATTTGAATGATTATTTTCCAACAAAATTATGGGAATGCATCTTCAACAATATTTTTTAGGAACCTCAAAGGATCTTTAACTTAAAAAAAATATTTTTTTTCAAAGACCCTCTGAATTTTTTTAAAGGAATATTTTTTTGAGTACTCTCCGACCAACAAATTCGGAATTTATACAAAAAATTCGAGGATTTTCAATTCTTAATTTTTAAGGGAATACATTTCAAAGGGTCCTAAACCAAAAAAAAATGAGAATTTATAAAAATATTTTTTTGAAGCTCTTCAAATCGGAGTTAAGAAAATGTATTTCCAGGGACTTCAAACCTGGATTTTTCAAGGAATATTGTTTTATGGATCCTCATACAACGAAGGTGGATTAACCAATTTTTTTGAGGAATATCATACATCGGACACTTGGACTTTTTTAAAAAATTAAATTTTTCAAAATTTCAATTAAATTTTTTTTAAGGAATTGCAAAATTGGACACTTTGACTTTAAAACGAAAAGAAACAATTATTCCGAAACTTTACCTTCTGGACTTTTTCCCAACTGATGACCATTTCCCACCACAGGCAGCACTCTGGGTCCTTGAGTATGCCCCATTTTTTGTTGCATCCTCCAACGCCACAACTCTTTGTAGATTACAAACACGATAGCCGCCAAACCCAGCAATAACAAAAACATGTTTAGATTTTTTTTTTAATTTATTAAAATTCGCAACACGCGTCCATTCGAAACAAGCCAATTATCCGTTATGAATTGTTGCTAAACTGTGAACAGATTAACTGCTGCAATTATATGTTACAATGATTTATATAATGTGCGTTACTAAGACAATTATTTTTGTTTTTTTGCGGAAGCTTTGTAACAGCCGGGCTGAAAAGTTGGGGGCATTGCGGAAATAATGGTGATGACTTAATTGAGATGAAAAAAAAATTGAAAATTATCAACACAGTGTAGATTTAAATATTTTTTTCGATATCCCAAAGAAAGTGAATTAAAAAAATATATTTTTAAAAAAAATTTATTTTTTTTTAAAAAAAATGTGAAAATGTGAACTTTAAAAATAATTTTTTCCAAGGACCATTTTTTAAATCCCGAACTTTAAAGTTGAGGGGATTAGGGATATGATGATGACTTAATCGATAAAAAAATATTCAAAATTATCAATACAGTGTGCAATTAAAAATACATTTTTTCGAATTTTTGTAAAAAAAATATTTGTTTTTTAAATGTTAAAAAAAATATTTTTTTAAATATTTTTTTAAAATATTGGAAAAATATATTTTTTTTAAAAAAAACCTAATTTCTAGGGTTTTTTGGAAAAACATATAGGGCACAATAAATTTCTAGGGTTTTTTGAAAAAAAAAATATTTTAAAAAAATGTGAAAATGTGAACTTTTGAAAATAATTTTTTTCAAGCAACCTTTTTCAAATCCCGGACTGGAAAGTTGAGTTGAGGGGATTGAGGAAAAAAATATTCAAAATTATCAACACAGTGTGGATTTAAATATATATTTTTTCGAATTTTTTTTAAAAAAATGTTTGTTTTTTAAATATTAAAAAAATATTTTTTTAAAATATTGGAAAAAAATATTTTAAAAAATTATTTTTTTTAAATATTTTTTTTTCAAAAAACCTGATTTTCTTGGAAAAAAAATATTTTTCCCAATATTTTAAAAAAATATTAAAAAAATGTAAAAATGTGAACTTTTGAAAATAATTTTTTCCAATCACCCTTTTTCAAATCCCATACTGGAAAGTTGAGGGTATTAGGGATATGATGATGACTTAATCGAGGAAAAAAATATTCAAAATTATCAATGCAATGTGGATTTAACAATATATTTTTTCAAATTTTTTTTAAATAAATATTTGTTTTCTAAATTTTAAAAAAATATTATTTTAAATATTTTTCTAAAATATTGGAAAAATATATTTTTTTTTAAATATTGGAAAAATATATTTTTTTAAAAAACCTAATTTCTATGGTTTTTGGAAAAAAATATGGGGCACAATAAATTTCCAGGGTTTTTTGGAAAAAAAATATTTAAAAAAAATATTTTTTTCCAATATTTAAAAAAAATATTAAAAAAAAAATGTGAAAATGTGAACTTTTGAAAATATTTTTTTCCAAAGCAAATCAAATCCCGGACTGGAAAGTTGAGGGGATTAGGGATATGATGATGACTTAATCCAGGAAAAAAATATTCAAAATTATCAACACAGTGTGGATTTAAATATATATTGTTTCGAATTTAAAAAAAAAATATTTTTTTTTTAAATATGTTTTTAAAATATTCTTTTAAAATATTTTTTAAAACATTTTTTCCCAAAAAAAAAACCCTATAAATTTGGATTTTTAAAAATAATTTTTTCTTTAAAAACCGCATCAAATCATGGAAATAATGGGTATAATTTATTTCTCTTAGAATATTCAAAATTATCAACCCAGTGTGGATTTAAATATATATTTTTTCGCATTAAAAAAAAATATATTTTTTTTAAATATTTTTTTAAAATATTTTTTTTAAATATTTTTTAAAACACTTTTTTTAAAACATTTTTTTAAAACACTTTTTCCCAAAAAAAGTCCCTATAAATTTGGATTTTTAAAAATAATTTTTTCTTTAAAAACCTAATCAAATCATGGAAATAATGGGTATAATTTCTTTCTCTTAGAATATTCAAAATTATCAACACAGTGTGGATTTAAATATATATTTTTTCGAATTAAAAAAAAATAATTTTTTTATATTTTTTAAAATATTTTTTTTTAATATTTTTTTTTTAATATTTTTTAAAATATTTTTTTTAAATATTTTTTAAAACATTTTTTTAAAAATTTTTTTTAAATATTTTTTAAAACATTTTTTTAAAAATTTTTTTTTAAAATATTTTTTAAAACGTTTTTTCCCAAAAAAAAACCCTATAAATTTGGATTTTTTTTAAATAATTTTTTCTTTAAAAACCTAATCAAATCATGGAAATAATGGGTATAATTTCTTTCTCTTAGAATATTCAAAATTATCAACACAGTGTGGATTTAAATATATATTGTTTCGAATTTAAAATATTTTTTAGAACATTTTTTTAAAATATTTTTTAAAACATTTTTTTTAAATATTTTTAAAACATTTTTTCCCAAAAAAAAACCTATAAATTTGGATTTTTAAAAATAATTTTTTCTTTAAAAACCTAATCAAATAATGGGTATAATTTCTTTCTCTTAGAACATTCAAAATTATCAACACAGTGTGGATTTAAATATATATTTTTTCGAATTCAAAAAAAAAAATATTTTTTTAAAATATTTTTTTTTAATATTTTTTTAAATTATTTTTTTTAATATTTTTTTAAATTATTTTTTTATAAATATTTTTTTTAATATTTTTTAAAACATTTTTTTAAAATATTTTCTAAAACATTTTTTCCCAAAAAAACCCTATAAATTTGGATTTTTTAAAAATAATTTTTTCTTTAAAAACCTAATCAAATCATGGAAATAATAGGCATCATTTCTTTCTCTTAGAATGTTGCTCTTCTTAAATATTTGCCTCTTTTAAGCAAAACATACAGATATATTCAATTTTATAACAAATTTATTCAGGAACAAAAATGATTTTACAAATTAATCTACAGAAAAAAAAGACCGACTGAAAATTATTTTTTTTTTTTTAAATTTTCCTCTTTCCTTTATTGAAAAAAATAAACCATTTTTTTACTCCCTCTCCCTTAAACGCAAATACAAGCCATTTTCCGCTCTCAGCGTGATGGCATGTAATAATGTCGGCACATATTTATCGGGTTTGGGCGCTCGTGCTCGTTGTGGCCCATAGAGCGTGCTAATGTAACCATCTTTCGATTCTAGGCCATCTTCGGGGGCTAATATTTGGAAATTTCTAACAATCTTGGAGATGACCGTCTTCACTTCGAGCATGGCGAATTTTTGTCCAATACAGTTACGTTGGCCACCGCCAAATGGCACATATTCAAAGGGATTTTGCGTGGTCGTACGTTGGTCGGCATCAAATCGTTGCGGATCGAAACGATAAGGATCCGGATAGATGGCTTCGTTATAGTTCATTGCTATGACGAATATGAGCAGTGAGGTGTGGGCTGGTATGATTTTGCCATCTGGAAGAGAAGGAGAAAGAAAGGGGGAGAGATATTTTTGAAATGAGAAACAGTCCTGGGCAGAGAGTCGCATATTTATGTTCTCTTTTTTTGGTTACTCTCTGTTTACATTATTTTAATATTTAAAGCAGGGCCGGGCAGAGAGCCGTACATTTATGTTCTCTTTATTTCGTTGCTCTCTGATTACATTGTTGGTAAATCAACTGATTTCTCGGTTGAATTTTTATTTTCTTTCTCTGGCAGCTGTTGAAACGGCCGCAAGACGACATGTGGAAGAAATACAAGAATGGATGAATAATTTGGAAAAAATAGGGTGGGGAGAGAAAATTATGGCAGAAGATATATAAAATGAGTCGAAGAGGAGAATGAGAAGAGTTTGATATAAACCTTGGAAAAATAGTAGGGAAATATAAAATAATAAGCAACCGCAGACGAAACCAGTAAGGAAAAGTCAAAAGTCGAGCGGGGCCGACTATATGATACCCTACACCACTATGGATATTTAGTAGTGCTCTCGTAACAAAAGAATTTATTTGCAGTAGATCATAGCTCCTATCAACATTTGGATTTAGAGCAGATATAATTTGGTTTCAGAGAGAACTTATAAATGGGAGGCATATCCAATTCTGAAACGATTTTCACTAAATTTAAATTAGAGTGTAGATATCACTTCGAGAAGGATTATATTAAAAACAAATGTATCCGAGCTGAGTTCCAGAAAATGGAGATATACGTCCAGAAATTCCTTCCATTTGGGTTGACATTGGTCTTGGCAAAATAAACCTGAAATCGGATCAAGGACATATATGGGAGCTATATCCAAACCTTAGCCGATCTCAATAAAATTTTGCAGATGCATTTCCGAGCTCTATAAAATATCTGGTATCAAATATTATTGTTTTCGAATGTATATTACGAATGTGAGGGACTTTAAACCCCAAATCGGATAAAACATATACGTGGGAGCTATGGCTATATCGGAAACGATTTTCATCAAATTTGATGTACTTGCTTCTACACTGAATTCGGTCGGATGTGCCAAAATACAGATCATTTGGACTGATATTGGCCATTTAGTGCACAATTAACCCGGAATCTGTTGAAGGCATGTATGGGAGCTATGTCTAAATTTGAACCGATAATCTCCGACTTCTGTCAAAGGCTGCAGAGCCTATAAGGAACTTCGAATACCAAATTTGAAAGAATTCCGGTGAATAATGTCGCTAAAATCATCAACATACCGAATATCGGGAGGTACCGTCATATGGGGGCTATACGAAGACGTGTACCTATATAGACAATTTTCTGTCATAGGCTGCAGTATCCATTTCGAACTTTAAATACCAAATTTGAAACACTTCCGATCAATAATGTCGCTAAAATCATCAAAATACCGAATATCGGGAGGTAACGTTATATGGGGACTATACGAAGGTGTGGACCTGCACAGACAATTTTTTGTCAAAGGCTGTTATACCTATTAGGATCTTTAAAAACCAAATTTGAAACAATTCCGTTGAATAATGTCGCTAAAAATCATCAAAATACCGAATATAGGGAGGTACTGATATATGGGGGCTATACGAAGACGTGGACCTTCAGAGACAATTTTCTGTCTTGGGCTGTAATATCCATTACGAACATCAAATACCAAATTTGAAACAATTCCGTTGAATAATGTCGCTAAAAATCATCAAAATACCGAATATAGGGAGGTACTGATATATGGGGCCTACACGAAGACCTGGAGCTGCACAGACAATTTTCTGTCAAAGGCTGTAGTATCCATTACGAACTTCAAATACCAAATTTGAAACGATTCCAGTTAATAATGTCTCTATAATCATCAAAATACCGACTATCGGGAGGTACCGTTGTATGGGGCCTATACAAAGACCTGGAGCTGCACAGACAATTTTCTGTCACAGGCTGTAGCATCCATTACGAACTTCAAATATGAAATTTGAAAAATTTCCGGTTAATAATGTCGCTTAAATCACCAAAATACCGAATATAGGGAGGTACTGATGTATGGGGCCTATACGAAGACCTGGACCTGAATAGACAATTTTCTGTCTTAGGCTGTAGCATCCATTACGAACTTCAAATACCAAATTTGAAACAATTTTGGTGATTAATGTCGCTAGAATCATCAAAATACCAAATATCGGGAGGTAACGTTATATGGGGACTACACGAAGGTGTGGACCTGCACAGACAATTTTCTGTCACAGATTGTAGCACCTATTAAGAAATTTAAATACCAAATTTGAAACAATTCCGGTTAATAATGTCGCTAAAATTATCAAAATACCGGATATAGGGAGGTACTGATATATGGGGGCTATACGAAGGCGTGGACCTGCACAGACAATTTTCTGTCATAGGCTGTAGTATCCATTGCGAACTTCAAATATAAAATTCGAAACAATTCTGGTGAATAGAATCGCTAAAATCATCAAAATACCGAATATCGGGAGGTGCCGTTATATGGGGACTATACGAAGGTGTGGACCTGCACGGACAATTTTTTGTCAAAGGCTGTAATACCTATTACGATCTTTAAAAACCAAATTTGAAACAATTCCGGTAAATAATGTCGCTAAAATCACCTGAATACCGAAAATAGGAGGTACCTTTATATGGGGGCTATACCAAAACGTGAACCTACATGGCCCATTTTTAATACCAATAGTCCTGCAGATATAATATACATTTGAGTAAATTTTTATCAACCTACTTCATTTCGTTCGGAAGCTAGAGTGATTTCCACAGACGGACATACGGACGGACATCGCTAAATCGCCATAGAATCTTATGCTGATCAAAAATATTTATACCTTGTGGGATCTAAAATGTATATTTCGAGGTGTTACAAACGGAATTATAAACTTAATATACCCTCCATACTATGGTGGAGGGTATCAAAATAGATGTGTTTCATTAATTACATAACCCGCTTGACTTCTCTTGCCTGGCCCTGATTTAGAGCATCGCTCTCTCTCTCTCTCTCCCTCTCTATCTCTTTATCTTACTCAGATTGTATTCCTTCTCGACATGTCTGCCAAAAAAGAGCACCGGTGGATATATCCGCATGGATTCCTTGATAACGCAATCTAAATATTTCATCTCATTTAAATCCTGCAACGTGGCATTGCCTTTCAGATTTCCCGCCATTATCCGATTTTGTTCCTCCAAGACTTTTTGCTGTATGTCCACATGACGTGAGAGCAAATATATGGCAAAGGTAATGGACGAGGTGGTTGTATCGTGACCCTATAACAGAGATTTTTTTCAAGGTCATATACGAAGGCCACAAAAATATATCCCCCCCCCCCCCCTCCGATTTCAAACCTACCGCAAACATAAGCGTTGCCACCTCATCGTAAATCTCCTTTCGTGTCAATGGCCGTCCATCGACAGTGGCCTCCAGCAGAGAATCCAAAAAAAACAATTTTCGTCGGCGAAACTCATTCTCCTGCTCGTTGCTGGGGTTTGTGTTTTGGCTCGACTTTTTGGCTTCGATACGTTTATCAATGATCTGTGGGAAAAAGAGAGAGAGAGAGTATTGAAAATAAATATGGAATATAGCGAAAATTTCAAATTACCCCACCCCATATATAAAATCCTTATAGATTTGCAATTGTTTCCGATACTCCCAATATTCTGGATATAATCTATAGAGCAGCTCATACCGTTTTATGGGATGAATGAGACGCTTATAGGAATTGTAGCACATGCTGAAATGGATAAAGGGAAATTGGGGAACGGGTCGGATTACAAACTAAAAGTAAAATAAATAATAAAAAAAATTAAAACAAAAGTAGTCGTTTTTGACACATTTTTTGAACGTTTTGTTATACCTTTTTGTGTGGGAGGTACCAGAAGGAGAGGGCCAATATCTACCATCTTCAAAACAGATTTCGTGTTGCATGAAATATGGGGATGTGTAAAATTTGAAAACAATCGGATGCTTTTTTCTCCATTTTATGAGGGTTATAATTATTCAAAAATTTTGACCCGTTGTGAGGGAGGTACCAGAAGGAGTGGGCCGATATATTTCATCTTTACACCAGGACTTGTGTTGCATGAAATATTAAGATGTTTGAAATTTGAAAGTATTTGGATTCTTATTTCGCATTTTATGAGAGTTATAATTATTCGAAATTTTGACCCCTTTGTGGGGGAGGTACCAGAAGGAGTGGACCGCTGTCTACTATATTTACACCAGATTTTGTGTCAATAGAAATATTGAGGTGTGTGAAATTTAAACACAGTCGGACTCTTATTTCAGGTTTTATAAGAGTTATAATTATTCAAAATTTTTGACCTGTTGTGGGGGAGGTACCAGAAGGAGTGGGCCGATATATTCCATCTTCACACCAGATATAGTGTTAGTGGAAGTATTGGAATGTGGACAATTTGAAGAGAATCGGATGCTTCTTTCGCATATTCTGAGCATTTTAGTTATTCATAATTTTGACCCCTTTGTGGGGGAGGTACCAGAAGGAGTGGACCGATACCTACCATCTTTACACCAAGTCTTGTGTTGGATGAAATATTACGATGTTTTAAATTTGAAGACAGTCGGAGTCTTATTTGAGATTTTATTCAAAATCATAATTTTTCAAAATTTTGACCCTTTGTGGGGGAGGTACTTGATGGCATGGGCCGATATTGTCTATTTATTGTCAGAAAAATATTTTTTTCTGTTTAAGAATGAAAATCTAAGATTTTCAAAATTAATTAATTAAAAACTAAAAAAAAAAATATTTCAGTTTTTGTCCCAAAAAGGATTTTCATAAAAAAAATTATTTCGAAGGATCAAACCAAAAATTCTAATTTAAAAAAATGTCTCTTCAATTTTTTTAAAAATTTTCAAAATATTTTTTCATATTTATCTTCAAGGACCAAAAAACAAATCTGATTCTTCTAAAAATATGTTTTTTAATTTTTTTTTTAAATTTTTCAAAATAATTTTTTCTATTTAAGAAAAGAAAAATTTTTAAAAATTATCCCAAAAATTATTTTCATAAAAAAATTGTCTTCAAGGACCAAAAAACTAATCTGATTCTTCTAAAAATATTTTCTTCAATTTTTTTTTCTTTTTTGAAATGTTTCAAAATAATTTCAGATTTCATAGATTTCAGAATTTTTGTTTTTTATAAGATCCTCAACTTACAACTTAACAGCCAGCACAAAATCCGAATGGGGGTTATCCAAAGCGTTAATGCTCACACACATGGCGGTTTCTAAAATAAATGAAAAGAAAAAAATTATAAAAATCCCGATAAATATCTCTCCGTTTGAATAGCCTCCAACTCACCACATATCACATCCAAGGTCAAATTATTGACCACCTCCTGAAAATCGAAAATGTTGTCACTGCGAGAAATCTCTTTCAATTTCCCAATGAATTTTTCGGAATTCGTCTTCATTACATCCTGAATGCTATTCAGAATATTGAAATTAAACGAGGGGGTAATCATTTTGCGATGCTTTTGCCATTTGGCGCCCGAGCTGGTGATCAAACCCTCACCCAGCCAAGGGTGGAGGAGTTTATAGATGTCGGATTTGTTGACCAATGGGTTGGTGGCTAAAATGCACTAAAAAGAAATATGGCGATGAAATACTTCTCCAAAAAAAAAAAAAAAAAAAAAAAATGTGAAGTAACTAACCTCCACATCCTTGGTATCCACTACCAAATACTGTAGATGGTAACCCAACCAAATGCAGAGATTCCCAAAGTTGTATTTGTAAAATAAATCAAAGAGATAATTTGTGATAACTGAAAGGGGAAAAAAACAACAACAACAATAACAATAATAAAATTAAATATTAACCTATAAACAGGTCACTTAAGGCATTAATTATTTAGTTAACAAGGCAATTTTGAAAAGTTAATATTAGTAATTATTTTTGCATCTTTGTAATGCCCTAATAGCCGACACACAATTATTGTCGCATTTTAATAACAATAATTTTGAAGGTGGATTGCTATGAAAAAAAAAAATATAAAAATACAAAAAATATAAAAATATATAAGAAAAATATAAAAATACATAATAAATATAAGAATAAAAAATTTATAAAAAAATGTATAATATATAAATATTTAAAAATATAAGAAAATACATAATACATAAAATATATAAAAGTATATGAAAATAAATAAAAATATAAGAAAATATATATATATAACATATTAAAATACAAAATATGAATATATAAAAATATAAGAAAATGTATAAAATAAATAAAAATATATAAAATATACGAAAATATATAAAATTAAAAAATATATGAAAATGTATAAAAATATATGAAATATATAAAATATATATATAAATATATAAAATATTTAAAAATATATAAAAATATCAGAGAATTTATAATATATATAAAAATATATGAAATTAAACAAAATATGTTAATATATAAGAATATATAAAATTATAAGAAATATATAAAATATAAGAAAATATATAAAATCAAAAAATATATGATGATATATAAAAATATATGAAATATATAAAATATATATAAATATATAAAATATGAAGTCTGAAAATCTCTGTAATGTGATGTGGAAGTGAAATTGTTTTTAAGAATATAAACAAATTTCAATCCCTGATGAAGATCGTCGATGCCGATCGAAATATTGGAAATAAAATGTTGAAACAAAATTAATTGTTTTTTATTCTACTGACCTCAAGCCAAAATAAAATATTTAAAAATATAAGAAAATATATAAAATATATATAAACATATAAAGTATTTTAAAATATAAGAAAATATATGAAATTAAAAAATTTACGATAATATATAAAAATATATGAAATATATAAAATATATATATAAATATAAAAAATATTTAAAAATATATAAAAATATAAGAAAATATATAAAATATTTAATAATATAAGATAATATAAAAAAAAATATAAAATATAAGAAAATATATGAAATATAAAATATATAAAATATTTAAAAATATATAAAAATATAAGAAAAATGTCTAAAATATATAAAATATAAGATAATATAGGAAAAAATATAAAATATAAGAAAATATATGAAATATATATAAATATAAAAAATATTTAAAAATATAAGAAAATATATAAAATATTTAATAATATAAGAAAATGTCTAAAATATATAAAAATAAAAATATATGAAAATATATAAAATATAAGAAAATATATGAAATATAAAATATACATAAATATATAAAATATTTAAAAATAAATAAAAAATGTCTAAAATATATAAAAATATATAAAATATATGAAATTAAAAAATATTATCATATATTTATGTTTAAAAATATTATCATATTTATATAAGAAATATTTTAAATATAAAATATATATAAATATATAACATATTTAAAAATATAAGAAAATATATAAAAATATAAGAAAATATATAAAATATTTAATAATATAAGATAATATATAAAAAAAATATAAAATATAAGAAAATATATGAAATATAAAATATATAAAATATTTAAAAATATAAGAAAATGTCTAAAATATATAAAATATATGATAATATATAAAAATATGTGAAATATAAAATATTTAAAAATATATAAAAATATAAGAAAATGTCTAAAATATATAAAATATAAGATAATATATGAAAAAATATAAAATATATGAAATATATATAAATATGAAAAATATTTAAAAATATAAGAAATTATATAAAATATTTAATAATATAAGAAAATGTCTAAAATATATAAAAATAAAATTATATGAAAATATATAAAATATATGAAATATAAATACATAAATATATAAAATATTTAAAAATAAATAAAAAATGTCTAAAATATATAAAAATATATAAAATATATGAAATTAAAAAATATTATCATATATTTATATATAAAAATATTATCATATTTATATAAAAATATTTTAAATATAAAATACATATAAATATATAACATATTTAAAAATATAAGAAAATATATAAAAATATAAGAAAATATATAAAATATTTCAAAATATAAGAAAATGTCAAAAATATAAAAAACAACATTTTTTTTTTCAAAACAAATTTTTTTTTTTGTACAATCGCGGGAGTTGGCCGTGGAGAATGGACTGTAGCGGTGTAAATATTTGCGGTGGTAACTCTTGTGATTGTAATTGATATTTAGAAAAGAAAAGGCAATTGATTTTTTAAGCGGTGGAGCAAATAGAATTTTATTCTTGTTCTGAACGGTTTGACTGCTTTAATCCAAGTAATAAAAAAATGGCTGTGCAGATTGTGCATCAGACATTTTATAAATATGTAACAAAAGGTATTGAATACAAGAAATGGTAGCCTGAACCATTGAGTGAAAACTTAAAGGGTTTTAAGGTTGCCATATTTTGACGGTTATCTTACGTTTAGATTTGAATTCAATGTGATTTATACTTAAGCTATTTTAAATGCAATTATAATTCAAGATATTTAAACGATTTGCTTGGAGTTCATTATACTTAATACTACGTTGTTGAACGCGGTTCAACATACCGCCCCCTTTTGCTGGACTGCAACTTCAAACTTGGCAGCTTCCGGATATGATCCAACCGAAGGCTGAACTTTGGGCAATTGGCATGTTGGTTGTGGTTTGAATTAGGCCGGCTCTTAGAATTTTTGGAATTTGATCGTTTGCTATCATGATTTCTATATTGATAGGGTTAAAGAAATGTGGATCTGCCAGATCCGTTAGGTGGTTGTATATTGATAGGTGCTTTTTATCTTTCGTCGATTCCGGGGTGCTAATGTGCAATGGATTTTGGACTTCGCCAGTGATGTGTATTTTAACGGACTCGTCATGGAAAGATTGCAAGTTTATGGCAGTAAAAGTCTTTCCAGCCCTCTGTGTAAGTGGTAACTGAAGTCGCTCCACCAATTTGGTTGAAATTGCAGTTTGCGTTGATCCTGAGTTCATCAGCAATCGGACTTTGTCGCAACCTTCTACAGTAATCACCTTTGCAAGAGCTGTGGGTAAAAACACATGCGATTTGGTTCGAGAACTTAGTCTGTCAATAACGTTGGAGTGACGGCGTTGCGTTGATGTTGAAGTAGATCGTTTTGATGTGTGGGCTGATGGACGGTTTTGTTGTTTCGCTGGACGACTTTGTTGGTTTTTGGCGGTTGGAGGTTCAAGGCTGCAACTTCGTGATGATGAGCGGTTTTTTGGGGTCGATTTGGAGGAGGAATGATTGTTGGGTTTAGCATCGATGTGTAGCAAGGTATGATGACCCTTATGACATACCATGCAAGTTTTACGGTTTGGGCACCATTCGCGGGTATGAGCCGTACACAGACAATTGAAGCAAAAACCTTTTTGACGTGCCTCATGTCGACGTTTTGTAACGCTCATATTTTGGAAAGTAAGGCATGATTTTATAAAGTGCCTCTCGTGGCAGATACGGCATTTGGGCAAGCTAGAAACGTTACTGAAATGTAAAAGGTTATTAAATTTGTGAGCAAGGGGGAAAAGTTAACAATTGGGGAGAATGCATAATTTTACAAGTGGGCGTACTATGATCCCGTTTTGCGTGCGAATTTCTGCTACACGAACCCTTGAATCTTTTCCGGCAAACACTCTAACCACGCGTCCAAGTCGCCATTCCGTCGGGGGAAGATTATCTTCTTTGATGACGACGAAATTATCTGGGGCAAGATCTCGTTGCGTTCGTTTCCATTTGTATCTACGTTGAAGATTTGTTATATACTCGTTCTTCCAGCGTTTGGCAAAGTGTGATTGGAGAGTTTTTAATCGTTGCCATCGATTCATCAGAGATAAATTATCAGAGGATGGTTCAGGAGTCGCAATAAGAGGAGCTCCTCTAAGTAGGTGGCCAGGAGTCAGCGGTACTAACTCGCTAGGCTCTTCATTCAACGGTGACAATGGTCGAGAATTTAGAATACTCTCAATTCTGATTAGTAATGTGGAAAACTCTTCATATGTATATTTCAGTTTTCCCGCTACCTTCTTTAAATGGGCTTTCATACTTTTAACGGCAGCTTCCCATAAGCCACCCATATGTGGGGCGTGAGGCGGTATAAAGTGCCAAGTGAAACCATGGATGTTGTATTTTGAGACTAAATGTTCTTCAGCGGAGCGTAGAAAAGTCTTATAGTCTTTAGCTAACGAACGACTGGCACCAACAAAGTTGGTTCCATTGTCTGAAAATATTTGTTTAGGAAGGCCTCGTCGGCCAACAAATCGACTGAATGTTGCCAAAAAGGCTTCAGCAGACAAATCGGAGCAGACTTCTAAATGAATTGCTCGTGTCGACAGGCAGACAAAAATTGCGGCATAGCCTTTGTGCAGTCTTGCATTTCGAAGGCGTGAGGTTTTGAGGTCGAAAGGACCGGCAAAATCAAGACCTGTATTGGTAAAGGGGAGGGAAAAAGTACAACGCTCAAGGGGTAAGGCGGCCATAATTTGGTTTTGAATGTGATGTTTGTAGATGGTACATGTTCGACAATTATGAATGTATGAACGAACGGCACTTTTCAATCGGATTATATAAAACTCTTGTCGAATTGCCCGTATCATTAGCTGATGTTCAGCATGAAGTAGCAAAGTGTGTGTGAATTCAATCAGCAACTTGCAAAATCTTGACTTTTCCGGGAGGATAATCGGATGTCGTTCATTGTACCGTGCATCAGAATTGGCCAAGCGACCATTTACTCTCAGTAACATATTTTCATCTAGAGTAGGATTCAAGGTTAATAGTCTGCTCTTAGTTGGTATTGGTTGGTTTGAGACGAGTGCCTGATATTCCCATGGGTAATGTATCCTTTGTGCCAATCGTATGAGGTAGTATTTGACGAAGGATATTTCATGTGCAAGTAAAATGTTTTTCCGCAATCCAGATGGGTTATTTCGGCGACACCCATTTATGAAGCGAAATGCATAAGCAAAGACTCGTAGGACTCGGTTGAGTGATGAGAAATCTTCTAGGAGATCATCTTCAACAACTTGGGCGTGCATGGCAAATACCTTCTTTTCAAGTTCTGGTTCTTTGAGAGAGGCGGGTTTTGGCCAGTGTTGTGGTTCCTTTGCTAACCAATGTGGTCCATTCCACCAAAGACTACATGCTTGAAGTTCTTCAGCTGTACAGCCTCGAGTGCCAAGATCCGCAGGATTATCAGCGGATGCAACATGTCTCCAGTTTGCATTTCCCACATTATCGAGAATTTCAGACACTTTATTGGCCACAAAGGTCTTCCAGTAAAAAGGCGGTTTGCTAATCCACGATAGGGTGATTGTTGAGTCAGTCCACAAGAATATTTCGGGAGAGGAAAGCTCCAAATTTTGACAAACAGATTTTAAAAGTTTGGATAACATCGCTGCTCCACATAATTCTAACCTCGGTAGGCTCACAGTTTTTAATGGAGCTACTTTGCTCTTGGAAACAAGAAGATTGGTATAAGTAATATTTTTTGAGGATTTAACACGTATATACAAACATGCACAATATGCCTTCTCTGAGGCATCACAAAAACCGTGAATTTGAATTTCAGTCTCGGATGAAAAATGTACCCAACGAGGAATTTTAATATTCTCGATGTCCGCAAATTTGGAAATAAAGGCATTCCACTTTTCGAAGGAATGTGTTGTTACTTCTTCATCCCAATTAGTCCCATCAATCCAAAGTTGTTGCATTAAAACTTTCGCGACTACAATTATGGGTGTTAACCAACCAGCAGGATCGAACAATTTTGCAACGATTGACAAAACTTTACGTTTTGTTATGGCAACAGTGGGTAAATCGAAATGTGTCACCTTATAGAAGAAATAATCATATTTGGCATTCCATTGAATACCCAAAGTTTTTGTTTCACTGACATCTTCTAATCGTAAGAAATCTTCGCTAAGAAGATCCTCCGGGGGAAGATTCAGGAGTATTTGAGGATGGTTTGACGTAATTTTCTTCAAAGGAAATCCAGCGGATTTTAACAAGTCAATTACCTCATGCAGATAGGACTTTGCTTCAGTTAACGAATGTGCTCCCGATAGTATGTCATCCACGTAAATCTGACTCTTGAGAATGTTCGATGCCGTTGGATGTGAGTGTTTATTGTCATCGCTAAGTTGGAGCAAAGTTCGTATCGCCAGGTATGGTGCACAATTTACCCCAAAAGTAACAGTTTTTAAACAGTAGTCTTCAACTTTTTCTAACGGAGAAGACCGAAACAGAATTCGTTGAAATTGTTGATCTTTCTCATGCACAAATATTTGGCGGTACATTTTTTGTATGTCGCCATTGAAAACATATTTGAAGAATCTCCAGCGTAAAACAACGTTAGTGAGTTCATTTTGTAGTGTGGGACCAGTATAAAGTATGTCATTTAGTGAAACCCCGTTGTCTGTTCTTTTAGATGCGTTAAATACGACTCTTACTTTCGTTGAAGTTCTATCGGGCTTTACGACAGCATGATGTGGCAAGTAGTATGAACGAAAATGGAGATTTTCAGAAATCTCAAATTTTGTGGTTAACTCCATATGACCCAAAGTAACATATTCAGAAAGTACTTTATTGTATTCTCCTGCTAGATCTGGATTCTTTTCTAGCGTCTTCTCTATCCTTAGGTATTGACCCATAGCGGCAGATCTAGAAGAACCGAGATATTTGTCCGATGGTAAGTCCTGTTTGAATGGTAACCTTACCACATATCTACCATCTGATCTTCGTTGAACAGTTCTTTTATAAAATTCCTCGCACCAGATATCAGATGCTGACAAAGTTTTTTCGTTGGAAATATTTTCTATTTCCCAGAATTTTCTTAGCTCCTCACTCAGTGGATCATATGTGGCCGTCCAGGAGGCAAATGAAGCAATAAGCTGGCAATTTGGTTTCCCACTGACTATCCATCCGAATTCGGTACATTGTGCCAACAGATTTCCAGAAATATTTTTCTTTAATCCTGGTTTTATAATGCTCGGCAATATGTCACTACCAATAAGCATGTCGATGGGAGCTGGTTTGAAAAATTTGGGATCAGCCAACTCTAATCTCTTTAAAGTTGTGAAGTCGGATATTACGGTAGGGGAGGCTGGCATTAAATGATTTAGATTCGAAACAACAATTGCGGAAGTAGCTATCTTAAAGTCTGACTTTCTGGACTTTAGAGTTACTTGACAACTTTTTGACGAATTTTCAAGAAGAGTTCCGCCAAGACCTGAAATCTTTGTGAATGATTTCTTAGTCGGAATGTCAAACCGATTTATTATTCGACTAGAAATGAATGTTTCTTGTGACCCTTGATCAATAAATGCCCGAATTGTAAACAAAAAGCCTTGGTGTTCTAGATCAATTAATGCAGTTGGCAAAACGGTTCTTTCTCCAGATTGTGAGAAATG